GAATGTACGTAAAAATCATTCAACTACTAATGATCACCATGTTATAAATATAATGTTTTTTTTTTCGCAGTGGAGGTTGAACAGAAGCAAGCAGAAATCGCGAGGCTGAAAGAACTCGAGAAAACGGCGAAAAGGAATATCCACGACCAGAGATTGAAGCAAATCACCGCGGCGCATCCATGTACGAAACTTGGATATAATTACGAAAACGGTACTGAATTTGAGTTCAATAATCACTTTTATTGCACATAAACTGCACCAACTTTATTAATTAGGTCTAATAATGAACAAGCTGCTAAATCAGATGACGAACGACAACAGCTAGCGGCCGGATTTACGAGTTGTAAGATGCCGTTTCAAGCGTTGACCGGTCAAGGCGACGACGACAACGACGACGAAGATGAAGAAACGGATCAATACATCAACTTTGAAGCACTCAATAACGTTGAACCAGCGGCCTCGCTGCATGTTTGAATTAATTTTGAATTATTATTAAATTAGTAATTAATTTGGATAATTGTTAGTTAGTTGAGATATGTGTAGTGTTGTGCTTTTTGCGTGCCTTGCATTTTGTCACATGTTGCTTTAATTTAATGCTTGTCTTCATGCTTATTATATCAACAACCATTGTTGGATAACTCCGCCCTAGTATCTATATATATATATATATATATTTTGGCATAAGAAAAATTGAAATTTTTAGATCCATCACTTTCTTTTTTCAGATGTGATGACTTTTTTATAAAATCATCACATCTGAAAAAAGAAAGTGATGAATCTAAATATTTCAATTTTCTTATGCCAAAAAATGTTATTACTACATTTTTCCTGTAGTATTTGTCGTTCAGGATAAAATTTTGTTTTTCAAATTATTATTTATCGTTTTTGAATTCCGATGAAATATTTACTATATTTTTTTTTTATTTTTTTTTTTAAATTTTATCCTTACGTTCTTAATTATTTTACTCATTTTATTATATTTTTCCTAGAATTTATTTACATTTATTAATTTTCTTAATATGTTGTGCATCGGCATTATTGCAAAACGACAAATAAAATAAAAAGAACGGAGTATATTTAATAGCATTAACTTTTATTCTCCTTATTATTCGAACAAAATCACCCGATCGATTAAGAGTGATTATTGAGAATCACGAAAAATGACATATGTACGATATAAATATCACGTAAATTGTACGTAGTAAGTAGAATTTAATTTATTCGTTTATGATAAATTTCATATAGATTCCATATATGGATGGTTGGGATTGTCTAAATTCCGGACTTTCACGGGCTTGGGACGCGCGTGTTCTTCCCTTTCCCTTTTTTTCTTTAAGATTATTATTTTGGTTTGTTAAAAGTAAAAATTGAATTATTTTCTTCTCGATTCCATAAATGTATACGGGTTTGAATTTAAAATTTGTGTATGATTTATAACATAATATTTTTTAAATAAATATTAAAACATAAAATGATTAGACAAATTCGTACTAATTTTTTTTTATAATTGAATGTAATTAAAATTAAATAATCATCCTACTGTTAGCAAAGGCAATGCAGGTAAATTCAGTGAATATTTTTTGTGACTTTCATATCATATTATTATTGTTGGATTAGAAAAATAGAAAGCCAAAACTCGAAACCGGACGATTTATTTTGCATCATTTATTATTATTATTATTATTATTATTATTATTATTATTATTATTATTATTATTATTATTATTATTATTATTATTATTATTATTATTATTATTATTGGTGAGACTGTCTGGAATACAAAATTCAATTAAAAGTCCAAAAGGAAGTCTTTTGGGCCACTCAGCCCACCGTTAAATAATGAGGACGCCATTGTTAATTATTAAATAATGGGTGTTCTTATTTGTAGCGGAGTTTTACTGAAATTGGTGTCCCCGTTCCCCAGAGCACGATTGTTCTTCTCTCTCTCTCTTTTTTTTTTTTTTTTTTTTTTTTCTTTTTTTTTTGAATTTTCCGTATTGTGTAGCAAAGGAAACCCAAAAAAACTGGGTTCTCGTGCTGCACAACACGAAAATGCCGCGAAAAAAATAGAAATTCACTAATTTCTTCGATTTTATCTCGTAGAAGTCATCTGAATCCGTCATTATGTTATTTGTTGTCGTTGGGCAATCGATTTATCAAACAAACACGAAATTCTTTGTTTTCGACTTTTTTTAGTTGAGAGCGTTTTGAGTTTTTTAGAAAGTTGAAAAAAGTTGAAATGAAAGTACCGCTGCAAATAAGCCAATTTTAGTAAAAATTCCGCTACAATTAGCAATTCAGTTAAATAATTTACAAGAATTAAATGATAAAGTTGGAGCTAATTATTAACAATAAAAATGGGAAAAATTAAGTTTTAGTCTCTCACATTTACACTGATTTCATATTTGGTCCTCTATGTTCATAAAAAACACATTGGATCCTTTATATTTCAAAAAATCAACACTGTTAGTCCTTCCTGTCAAATTTCCAGTAAAACTAACGGAATCAAGCATGTTCACATCACTGCCTTTAACTAACGGACTAACATTAAATTGACGTAAATTACAAAAAATGTATTGGAACTTAAAGGACCAAATGTTTACTGAGAACATGGGGACCAAATATGTACTTAGTGAACACCTGAGGGATGAAAATGTAATTTCCCCCAATAACAATATAAAATAGTTTTGAAATTGAATCGGATCTCTCATTTCATCCAAAGAGCTCTGGTTTCGAACTCCATAAATCTCACCAAATAATTTGATCCAAACGACGTCGTTTTATCACCGAGCAGCTGAGAAAGCACAACAATGGATTCCGAATCATCGACTGCGAGTAGATTAAAGCTGCAAATAAAGTTCAGCGGCCGATCAATTCCGGTTGAAATCGCCGGAGACACCACAATCAAGGACCTCAAATCCCTCCTTCAAACCCTTACCAATGTCCTCCCTCGCGGCCAAAAGCTCATCTTCAAAGGTCTTCTTGTTCTTTCTCCATTTCCCTTTTACTGTAATTAGGTTTTAAATTTGCTGATTATCATCGCACAATTCTCAGGGAAGGTTCTTTCCGACGAATCGACGTTGGCGTCGTCGGGTATTATTGATGGCTCCAAAATTATGCTCATGGCTTCACAGGGACTTCACCAAGGGGTATGTATAATGTGTGTGTGTGTGTGTGTGTGTGGTTTTCGTTTTTGTTTGCAGAGTATTTGGTTTAAAATGTGTATTCTGAATTTCATTCAAAAATCAAGATTGGCATTCAGTGCATTTGTTGATTGTGAGAGTGCGAATCAATTGACACGGTGTTTGATGTTTCTGAACAGGGTGGTCCGGTGAAAAAGGAGGCAGCTATTGTGCCTGATAGCACAAGGAGAAAGAAAGAAACGATCAAAGATTCTATCGTAAAGAGCCAAGTAGAACGTTGGAAAGCAACTGGGGTCATTGCATTGTCCGACTGTGGTCTCACGGTACATAAATCTTACCTTGAGAAATAAATTGGATGACAGTTTGTTGGTTGTTTTATAGTCTATACAGTTTTGGTGAATGATGCATAGTAGGTTATTTATATGTTTTCTTGTTTATCCTTAAAACAAAGTAACTCGAGTCAGAAAAAAATGGGTGGTGGGATCCAACAAGTAATTGATAGTAAAATGTGCAATGTATATCATTTAACTATATAGATAAAGATCAATCAAGTGGTTATTTATATGTTTTCTTGTTTATCCTTAAACAAAGTAACTCGAGTCAGAAAAAAATCGTTGGTGGGATCCAATAAGTAATTGATAGTAAAATGTGCAATGTATATTATTGAACTATATAGATAAAGATCAATCAAGTGGTTATTTTATTTGATAAGCAACATGAAGATTTTAAATGCACATTTATTTTTCCTGCAATGTCTGCCAGCTGTGATCGCGACATATATTGGCTGTATGTAAATATGTATATAACTGCAAAAAATAATCGAGCAGTGCCCCTCTTATGGTGTCTGGCATCAATAGCTCACGAAATTGTGTTAATATTTCCTTGCATTTGCATTTGCATTTCTTGCTAAATTTATTGTGTTTGAGAATTTCTTAATATTTGTTAGTTATATATTCTTCTGTTGTATCTTAAGAATGCTTACGCTTCTATTTTGTGCATGCAAGACTATACCTGAAGAAATCTGGACTTCTGTACCTTCAGTCAGAGTACTTGATATAAGCCAAAATTCCTACCTTGAGGTGCCAGCTACAATTGGGCAGTTACGCTCCTTACAGGTCTACAAAAAAAAAATGTTTGCTCTCACATAAAAAATAGCTACTTTATGAATGAGTTACGTTTTTTTCACTCACAATAGCCTCGTCTTCTTTGTAATGCTTTCTGTAGAAATTGCATCTAAATGGAAATAATTTATTCAATGAGTCTATTGGCTGGGAGGGACTGACGTCTTTGAAGCTTCTTACGATTCTATCATTGAGCCAAAATAAGTACGTGTATTCGTATTCCTTCAGTTTCTTGTTATATCTTATCTCTCTTGTAAATAGTGCACATCCAGATGTGCTATAAGAAGAACTTTGTGAATGATAAAAGAAAATTTGATTCGTTATATTCACAAGCAACATAGTTAAAGAGTAATAGCTATGGAAGAAAAGGAGAGAGGTGACAGTTACAGAGCTTATCACAACGAGGGACTTACTGACGTTTAATAGATAAAGTTAACCGACTAAATTAGAGTCAAAAGCCAAAATTAATAGTCAAAAGTGATTATGAGGGGTGTTTTACTGTTGTTCAACTTTTTCTGTATCAGGTCTTCATTGTTATCTTTTACTTGTGTTGATGGTTCAGCCAGTTTTAATTACAGCTTGCATTTTCTTTTGAGCACAAAATATTTAAGCACTGGTAGATATACCTAAAGCCCCACCCTAGCAAAATTTTGCAGTTTCCATGTTCGAGAATAGCTCGTTTTTTTTCCTTTTTTTTTTTTTTAATCTTGATAACTGCATGTGTTACATGGCGAAGCTCAACTCTTCTTCTGTGTCCAATTAACTGTCCTTGTAATTCGATTTGTACATCGCATGCAGTTTGTACTGAACTCTTTACTCTTTCAGTTTGACAGCATTACCTTCTGCAATTGGTGCTCTGAAATCCCTGAAGCAACTCCATATCGAAAACAACAAGTTAATGTGTCTCCCTTCTGAAATAGGTTTTCTGACAGAGCTTCAGGTTTTAAAAGCCCAGAATAACAGGTAAACAAATTGTTCAAAGAATCGATCGATCATTCATTTGCAAATCGTATTCTCTGTTTTCCTTAATCGTATTTGCAAATCACCCCACCTCATTCATTCGAGAGTCTTAGCTCAAGTGAGAATTATGCAGTTGCAAATCGTATTCTCTGCTTTACTCGATCTTCACATTGATAATATCTTGTTGAATGCAGGATAAAGACGATTCCTACAAGTATAGGGGAATGTGTTTCTCTTATTGAAGTATGACCCTGTTCTTTCTTCCATTTTTCACTTACTAGTGATTGCATGCATTCATTCACCAAGTTATTTGAGATGTTAGGTCTAGCCTTTTTAATTGTCAATATGCTGTTGCAGGTTGATCTTTCATGTAATCTACTGGCTGAGTTACCCGAGACGTGTGACCGTTTAAAAAATTTGAAGGTTTATTCCCCTGTTTTTTAATATACTATTTTGTTTTCTATATTTTCACTGTATTAAAAATTTGAAATTCGTGCAGGCATTCTATCTTGGTAATAACGGGCTAAAATCCCTACCCAGTAAGCTATTTAAAATGTGCTTACAGCTTTCGACACTGGATCTTCATAACACAGAAATAACAACGGACCTTCTCCGTCAGGTACATGACATCATCCTATTACCAAAAAATGTTTCAATTTTTTAAATTAATTTTTCGCGGTTTTAGTAATGGAAAGTTAGCCTCATCGGTTAGTTAACGTTTCCATACATAATAATATATATAATCTGAAATCATCTCATTTGACAGTTTGAGGGATGGGAGAGTTTTGACGAGCGTCGTCGATTGAAGCATCAGAAACAGCTCGATTTCCGAGTCTCTGGTTCCGCTGAATTTGATGAAGGTGCTGACAAGAACTGGTAGTACAACCAAGTCTTTTATGCTTATTGAAAGGTTTGATTGAAACTGGCTACTCACTCCTTGAATTTATATATACTCCCAAGTATTTTATATGCAACTGGAGAATGACAAATTAGATATCTAAATAGATATATCATATATATGTATTTCAATTATTATTAAAGTTGACTGACCTTGTGTAGTTATTAATTTGTCATTTTTGGATTGAGATTATGTTACTTATTTTCTTTCTATGGTCATTTTTTGTGTATATATTGAATTTCAAAAAAATAAATATTTTGTATAATAAGAAATCAAGAGCTTTTTATAGGGATATATCATATATCATAACAATGCATCTAGAAATTCATGTGATTTTTTTTTTTTTTTTATAATAATTTCATTAAGAAAAGAAAAAACCTAGCCTAGGTGAAAACGACATCCAATTAGTATTATTATGGAGAAAGAAGTAAGAAAAGGTTTAATTATCAAAAAAAAAGAAGTAAGAAAAGGTTGAAACCGGCAAATGGAGGGGCCGCCGGTGCGTTGAATAGTAAATATTGTCATATCTTTCATGGGCCCACCACGTGACCAAAAAATACCAATCTCCCCCTCCCTCCACCTCCACCACCACTCCACCGCCGCTCTCAGCCTCCCCCCTCTCCCTTGGATTCTCTCTCTCTCTCTCTCTCTCTCTAGTTTCTACAAGTTAGTATTATGAATGTGGGTCCCCAACACTTATTGCCATGGTGAATTATATTATATAGAATGCAAATCTTAAATATACACGGAACATGAATTAAGGAATTAAATTCCTTTTTTTTTTTTGTTCATTCATTTTTAGGCCGGGCCAACAAGTACAATATTCAGTGTTTTGAATTCCGAATCAAACCGGCCGGTTGACTGCGAACCATTGTTTCAATTTGACCGGTTGAACCGTAAAATTGGAACCCGCCTGAAAATCGAGTTTCTTTTGTCAAAATGGCTAAAACAAAGCTTTGTTACTGCCGAGTTGATCTTTTATTTTTCCTAAACCAAACTATAAAACTTTGAAATTGCAATCTATAATATTTGAACCGATTGAGTTGTGTGATATATGTGTTCATATGTTGTATGTGTAAAATAAAAACAGGCTTATAAGTCATGCAAAAGGAAAACAAAAAAAAAAAAAAAGAAGGGAAAACCCGATTAAACCGATCCAACTATGCCCCCAATAACTTGTCCGAGTCAATGTCCAGTCCGATTTTTAAAATAGTATAGTACTATTTTGTTTATACTATAGCACTCTACCTTAATTTAATTTAATTTTATTTGATCAATTATGTAGTAGCTAGTAGTCTACATTTGAGCACAAAAGTCTCGTTCATTATTCAAATTCCCAATTTCCAATTACGTTTTCTCTTTTACGTCCTGTCCCATCTCGGCCAATCTTTTAAACCCGATTCTTTCTTTCTTTTTTTCTCCTTTTCACACTCCATTTTCCCAATCAAACAAAATTCACACCACATGGATCCCGGATCCGGATCCGGATCCGGAGCAGGAGAAGGATCCGATCCAACAGTATCCACCGATCAGGCCGGTCCGCCTTCAGCGTCAACGGATTCCGCGGCGGCGGCGGCGGCACCGCCGAGCCGGTACGAGTCGCAGAAGAGGCGGGACTGGAACACGTTCCAGCAGTACCTGAGGAACCACAAGCCGCCGCTGACGCTGGCCCGGTGCAGCGGCGCGCACGTGATCGAGTTCCTCAAGTACCTTGACCAGTTCGGGAAGACGAAGGTGCACGTGACGGGTTGCCCCTACTTCGGCCAGCCCGACCCGCCGGCTCCCTGCGCGTGCCAGCTCAAGCAGGCCTGGGGCAGCCTCGACGCGCTCATCGGCCGGCTCCGAGCCGCCTACGAAGAGAACGGCGGCCGCCCGGATACCAACCCGTTCGGAGCCAAGGCCGTCAGAATTTATCTGAGAGAAGTTAGAGAGAGCCAGGCCAAAGCTAGAGGGATACCCTATGAGAAGAAGAAGCGGAAACGAAACCCTCCTAATACAGCTGTCACTGGCGGTGGTGCTGGAGGTAGTAGCGGCGGCGGCGGCGGCGGCGGAGGCGATGATCGGAGTTGACATGCGGAGACTAATGTGCCTGCAGCAGCCGTAGCTACTAAGTTAGTAATAATTCGTATTAGTATATAATTAATTTAGTGGCCGTCGGTCCTATTCTTTATAATATCTTTTAGTATATTATTATTTGATATTTCAACTTGGTATTATATTTCTCTTAATTGTGAATTATTATCGAATATAATAATAATATATATATTCAAGAACGAATTGTTTTTCCCGCTACTGAAAAGTTTAATTAATGGATCAATTAGGCTTGCCTCAATTAATTAAGCCAACTCCTCACCTTAATTTTTATTTTTTCAATTTATATGAAGATTTAATTTATTTTAAATAAAAATGAATTTAATTTCTGATAATGAATTTCTGGTGTTTGCTTTATGTAGTATGAACTAAGACTAGTGGGAAAGGGTACTGTAGATTCTGGTCCCCTTTTAGAGAATTCACCTGAAGGTGGGCACACGATTGGGTCTGATTTAAACCTCACACGTGGGAATCATGCCTCTTTTTGCGTTGACTTTGACCAAAAAGGCCCAATTGGCCCATTAATAAAAGTATAAAATTCCTCAGTTAAAACTAAAGTATAAAAGTCCATTAATAGAAAAATCCAGTCCGTGAAAGCCCACTAAGACAGGAAGCCCAAACCTATGAGGCCCATTAGGGAGTCTACCCTCGTCGACCGCTCGAGCGGGGGCGAACCTACGGATAAGCGTCGAGCTCGACCGGCGGCGTCCGGATAGGCACATTTTTTGCTATGTCGAGCGTATGGAATGCACGAATAGGCGTATTTAATATCCTGGCACAAGCATTTAATGCTCAAGTGTCTGTCGACAACCGAAAAAGCTGGAGAAGGCAATGATTTCGTACCAAAAGGTTGTGTCCACGGGCGTGATTAAGCGGCGGATGGTCGATTAGATGGTGATGATTGTCTGAAATACCATGGGACGTGCGGAAAGTTGGTAACATCGGCGAACTGGCATATTCCTATTCGATTTAAGGGCTTCTTGGGGTCCGATGAGAGTAACTGCAAATAGGAAACCACCCCCTCCCATGAAAATGTAAGGTTTTCTGCGTCAGAATAGAGGTCTATGTTCGAATTATGCCGCTCCCCTACTTCCCCAATTTTTTGTTTGATTTTAATTTCTTAAAATAAAAATAAGGGCAAATTATTGCCACCACCCCTGAGGTAAGATATAATTACGAAACCTCCCACAGATTTGCATAATTACAACCACCTCTCAACTATGCAGTTATGCAATTCGTAATTTGGCTTAAAAATAAAACACTTTAGTAGAGGTTACAAACATTTGAGTTGCCCCTATAAAATAGTAATATTAGTTGCACGAGGCAGGCACACGCCCCTTCGTCTCCCCTCAATCAACACCGTCCACGTGTCCCTCCATCGACGGCCAACGCCGCATCTCGCCCTCCAATTTCTGCATATATACAGGGTGGCGTATCAATCACCTTCCTCATTTTGCTCTCTTCCCTAAAACATTCAAAACAAAAAAGAAAAAAAAAAAAATGTCACTCAGATCCTGCTCAGCAGCTGCTCCCCTTGTCCATTCTCTCTCTCCTCGCGTCAACCTCCGCAGCGGCTGCGGCGCTCTGCCTCTGCGGCGCCGGAACGTGGACGGTCTCGTAATTAAGGCGGCGGCGGCGGCTAACGAAGCCAATAACGGAGCCATTCTCACCACCGTTTTCGAGCCGTTTGAGGAAGTGAAGAAGGAGCTCCTCCTCGTACCGTCTCACCCCCAAGCCTCCATCGCTCGCCACCGCTACTCTGATCCATGTGAAGCCGCCATCAACGATCAGATCAAGTAATTTTCGAGTTAATTTATGTTTCAATTTTATGCTGCATGTATATATATGTGTTTGTTTATTTAATTGTAGTTAGATTTTGTTGGAGGTCTGAGTTATTTATTCATTTGATTTTGATTTCCCCCTAACCACAACCATTTTTTGCGGTTTTACCGAGTGGACATTTAGCTCGAGAGGTTTTTCCGATGTTATATAGGGCAAATTACGGCCACCCTTGAGATGTGGCCAAATTACGAAAAAACCCCTCGTGTTTGGGTAATTACAGCCACCCCTCATTTTATATATTTTTACATAAAATGTATGTTTACGGAACAAACTGTATATTCAGTTCGGTAAACGGTATGAAATGTTGGCGTACCGAAATTTTGATTCGGATTTACTGATTTAACATCTCTAAATTTGAGGGGTATTTTCGTAAGATAATACGTAGTTGAGGGTTGACTGTAATTACCCAAACATGTAATTACCCAAAGAGGAGGGGGGTTTTCGTAATTTGACCGTAACTCAGGAGTGGCCGTAATTTGCCCATATATATGGTTGGGAATTGGGATCTTTTGAAGTCATTGATGTAGTCATGCTATAAAAAAATATTAATCATCAGAGATTTTTTTAAAAAAGAAAAGGAAATAAGGCTAATTAAATGATATAATAAATATGGACCATTATTATTTTTTTTTGAGAAAATTCAAATTCTGTTACAAATACTCGTACCAAATTGGCAGGATTCGAACCCTAGACCTCTCTATTCTAATAGTAGAGGCTAGGTATCAACTCTCTCCTAGTGAGGGTTGGTTAATCATCAGAGATGTTGCTTTAAACTATAATTTATTGCTTGGTTCTGTTTTTTTGCTAGAATTTCATGTTACTCATTTTTTTGTGCAGTGTGGAATATAATGTCTCTTACGTGTATCACGCAATGTATGCCTTTTTCGACAGAGACAACGTTGCTCTCAAGGGGCTCGCCAAGTAATTTATTCCGAGCTATATATAAATATATACTTGCACGCTATTTTCTCATCATGCATGCTGTTCATTTTCTGTATGTACATTGATTACAAGTTGTTGTCCTAAATTAATGCAGGTTCTTCAAGGAAGATAGTGTAGAAGAAAGGGAGCATGCAGAGAAATTTATGGAATACCAGGTGATTTGATTTTCAATGTATCTTATGAGGTTGTTTTCTATGTTACCGTATTGATTCAATGATTTATAAATTTCATTTTGCTCTAAATGATGTGTAGAATAAGAGAGGTGGAAAAGTGAAGTTGCACGCGATGAACATGCCGATATCGGACTATGATCACCTTGAGAAGGGAGATGCGTTGTACGGTAAGTTTAATTTAACCTATGTCTAATTTAAATGTTTTTTTTAGCTCTACTAGTTCACTCAACAGAATTGCCGTTTATAACATCCTTATCTCTTCTCCATTTCAGCTATGGAGCTTGCTTTATCGCTGGAAAAGTTGACGAACGAAAAACTTCTGAATTTGCAGAGGGTACAGTCCTACATTTTTCTACCATCATTACAATTTTTTCGTTATATCCCTGCATATATTCTTAGGACATTAGATACTTAATTCAATATAATGCAGTTATTTATACTTGAAGTTGCACTACTGATTTCTATTTCCAAATTCTCGATAGGTGGCTGATGAGAACAACGATGCTCAGCTAGCTGATTTTGTGGAGAGCGAATTTTTGGTAGAGCAGGTGAATTAAATATTAATTTTCATCTTTCTGCATATTCTTATAGAACTCGTTTCAATTTTTTTCCCCTTCATAATTGTTTAACGATTGATACTTGCGAAACTTCAGGTCGAGTCGATCAAGAAAATATCTGAATACGTTGCTCAGTTGAGAAGGGTTGGCGGAGGCCATGGTATTTTCACCCGTTTAATTTCCATTTTCCTTAGTCTATTTTCATTGTTATGTTTCGTTACAACAGTTGCATCAATATTTTCTTAACTATATTACTTTGAATAATAATTTCCTCAGGTGTGTGGCACTTTGATCAAACGCTCCAAGCTTGACGCCGTAGCAGCATGACTGAATTAGTTGATAATTCTTCCATCTGCATTAGATGGATTACAGAGGCTGAACCGAGGAGGGTAGTATGAACCTAAAGCTTTCTTTTAAACGTAATCCTTTCGTGTTTTTTTCCCCAATTTGGTTCGGATTTAATAGCATGCATTTTTGCGCGTACTCTATCTTATTGTTCGACAATGGATGCTTATTATTATGGGCGTAAACTGATTGAATCAAGCCCAATTTTTTAAATTTGTGTGAACTTTTATCGAGTTTTGAAGTTGTTTTTGAGCTTAGTTTGATAGCCAATCTAATTCGAGCCAAACACAAATTGAGCTTTAAGGATGTTGATTTTTTTTTTATACATGTTTTATTATTTTGTCCTCCAATTGTATTGACCAAAATATGTGTTCAAGTTCGGTTATCCTGAAGAAGCTCTTAACACTAAGCAATCTGATTATTACACAGTAATTTTGTTGGAATCATTTCTCCTGATACTTAGCACACCCCAAATCATTTTCTACAAGTAATGCATTAGTGCTATCTATCATCATATAAAAGTTCCAAAAATAAAAAAAAATAAAAAATAAAAGCCGACTCGAGCAAGTTTCTAGACATATACTGACTGGTAAGAGAAGTTCAGATACAGTGTACTATGTACTTACTGATGAAGACAATTGACATAGTTAACTCGCCATCATAGTGAAGTTTCGATTTTTTAGAATGGAATCCGGATGATACGTTGTTAAAGCCAAGCCTCTTACGATTCTGTATGCTTGTCTAGTAAATTTCTAGTAAATTACGCTTTAATGAAATTTAACGGATAAGACAAACTACATTTGACTTATATGCAGCCATTGTAAACTAGCAGCTTAACTATGTACTTGCGGTCCTTGCATGTCATATGTACCAGGAGGAGGGGGCGGAGGAGGAGGAAGAGGAGGAGGAGGAGGAGGACCAGGAATCCCTGCTCCGAGACCATAATTAGCACCGGCATCAAAAGTAACCTGTTTCCAATAAATTAAATAAAAAAATCATCAGAACTAGATAATTCAATTATAACTCGTAAAATACTAATGTGTTTGAGACTGAAATGAGTTGTAAGCTACTTAGATGAGACATAAAAAAGAAAGTTAAGAGTAGACTCCCGTAAAAGATCTAAAGAGGACTACTCGTTTCCAGATATCACTCCTGTAAAAAGAATTGGAATACCCGATTTATGCGTCACGGTTCTGTTTCTGTGTAATTTTCATTATATTTTATGCAACAGCTATTTCTATATACTTTCAGTCCGTTTCTTTCTTCCCACGGTATCCATATACATCCTCCCTCGGTTACCTTAGATTCTACAATCACAACTAGCAGCAGAGAGAGGAATTGAGCATTGCTTGCAGAAAAGTTGAGAACACTTTTTAAATAATATAACATAATATTTCTTCTTCTTCCCTACACTAAAATACAATTTTCTAGCACCTTAATAACCAACTTTTTCTGGAAACAGCCAATTAAAAAAAATTGTAGTAAGAACAGTGTAAACGCAAACAACCGATAGCGCAAAACTGATGACTGTTAAGAGACAATAAGTGCAGTAGAAGATCTTTAATGTCCTATATAATGCTTAATTGAGAAAATTTAGATCTAAAAGAAAATACGAAATAACGAGTATTCAATCAATTTTAAGAACAAGTAGATAATATTGAAACCAAAGAGTTATATCCTGTTTCAAGAAAGAAGCAACACCAAAAGAGCAGAATGGGAGGAGGGAATTTAAGGCGTGCTTTCTGCACTGTTTGATAGTTTCGCTTGACGACCATAAAACTTAAAAAGGGAATCAAAATAATTCATAATTTAATAAGAGGTGATATATCAAACCTGATTAACAGCATGTGGATTATACAATGGATTTCCACCATAGCCAGGATCGTAGTTTATCTGGTGTGTAGCATACACGGCCCCTGTTAAGACATGTGATTGCACATTACGAAAACCTCGTGATTTTTAGTCACTGTGAAGGGGCAAAAAGGTAAAGTCCTGCATCAGTTACCTGGATTGGCAGCTGAGGCTGCCGCTGCGGCAGCTGCCATTGCCCTCTGCTCTGCATTTGCAAGTTCAGAACGCAGTTTTTCTGCTTCACGAGCCAAAGAAATCATAAGCTTCTCCATTGCCTCACTTTGTTCAAAGTTGTTGGATGACATCTTTCTTTCGTGTTCAATCGCAGCCCTGTCATATTCACAGCCAGAAGGTTGCATTTCTATTATTCTCAAGTTTACAAATTATTATCTTCTGACGATAAATGACACGTGGAACATTTAGTACCGAGGATATATTCATAATAAAATATTTCCAAAATCAAGTGTGACATTCAAGACCAGTACCAATCAATTAGACTTTATCTGTCGTTGGATGAACGCCGACAAATTTGAACGAAAAAAAAAATCTGTACTCGCCAATAATATAAGGAAAAAACATTGACTTCTAAAACACAAAATAAGTACACATTATTTTTTGGGGGAAAAAAAATTACCTAGACAGGCAAACGAAAATAAGACAAACTGTGACACACATTTATTTCTACAGTATAAAACAATCTCTTCAGAAGATTTAGCTTCTGCGGTGGAGTTCTTATTCCACTTCCGACACTCCACACAACAAATTTCTTAATAAATGTTTGAAATCGAACGCTTGCCTCCTTGAAATTGAAACTACAAGTACTTCAAGTCATACATTTTAGCTCTAAGAACTTAACTCCAAGCATCGAAACATAGTGTAAATGCACCGGTTTCCAAGTTATACTTCCAAACCACATTTTCGCAAGGTTTATTATAATGAAAAGATTCATCAAAGGTGAGTGAGGTAAATCGCATGGCTTATCAGAAACGCGCACACGACTTCGTAAATGAGGCGCACACAAACGACGCCGTTTGGGGGAAGCGATTAAGAATTAGTTAAATCCGTTAGCATTTCGTTAAATTTAAATAAGATTCAGTCCGAATCGATACCGAGATTCGATTCGTTAAACAAATTAGTTACTCCTAAAATAAAATTCTATTTTTTCGGTCCAATTCTTCTTCTCCCCTGTTCGAAATGTTGCAGAAACACAATTAAAGGATCTATGACAATCCACCATTCTTCAATAACTCTGTACCAAATTCAAAACAAATGATAAAGAGCTTCGGAAATTGGATACAAAGTAGATGCATTTGCGCATACCTTCCTCGTTGGATTTCTATTTGCGCCGCCTCAATTTCACTCTTGAGATCAGGCAGCTGCTGCAACTCCGCACGAGCCGTGACAACATCGCCGTCGATATCCTTCAGCTTCTCCAACAGTTCCTTGCGCTCGGACCGGAGTGCATTAATGTCGGCCCGAACCCGTTCCAATTCGGCGGAAATCCCATCGACGGAGCGGGCCTCGTCCTCCAATCTAAGAGACCGCTCGTAGACCTCGCGCACCTGAGCGTCCCTCTCGGCCTTGACGGAGGCGGCCGTGGCGGAGATGTGACGGAGCTCCTGTTCGGCGGCGACCAAATCCTGCTTGAGAGCCACGTAGCTGGTGGCCAGCCGCTGGTTGTCGAGGAGGAGGGTTTCGATTTCGCGGCTCTGCGCGGCGATTCGGTCCTCGATCAGACGGACCTCCGTCGCGGTGAGGCGGCGGTGGGGGTGGACGACGCCGTCGTTGCGAGGGCGGTGGTTGTTGTGGCGGTGCTTTAAGCCGGCGGCTGGGGTGTTGTGGTTTCGTCCCGCCATTGGTGATCGGCGAATTGATTGTCACCGTGGGGGGAGTGTAATTTGGATGTGCTGTTTTGTTACTGTAAAAAGCAAAATTCAGACGTTACAAATAAATATTTTACCATTGGGATATGAAAAAAAGGGTATATTCTATTCTCTGCGTATTGACTACTAATTGATTCACATTAGTGTCAGCGTATACTAACTACAACCTCTATAAATTAATAATCTCGTTTAAATATTTTTTTTCGGTCCCGATTTGAGGACATTGTAATAAATTAATAATTTTCTAAATTTATAAGATAATACACATTCGAAAATTTTAAGAAGCCCCATATATTATATAAATTAATAATGCATAAAAAATAATTCTTAAATTACATGGTACAGTACATATTTTATAGATCTATGAAGGCTTAATGCAATATAAAATTACATCGTCCCTCACTTTTCTTAATATGGTTAGAACTTTCAATATAGTTTTTTCATGACTTAATATAAAATCGTTCTATACCACTGCTGCTTTAAGAGCTTCCGTTTGTGAAACGGGCTCTATAGTGCATTGAACTAATGGTACAATGTATAATATACACGTAAAAAAATTAAAAAAATGTATTTATTGAAAATAATAATAAAAGTAATTTCATAAATTAATAAGTTATTAATTAATGTATAAATTAATAATTATTAATTTATCGATAAGTTAATATTTCGTTAAATTAATAAAATTTTGATGGTCTCAACTGTATTAATTTCAGTAGTTTAACTATATGTATTTTATAGGAGTAATTAGGATTTTACAATTATGTTACAATAGTTATGAAAGAACTGTCAAAGTGATTTATAAACTACATAACTATACTATACTAGGCTGAACACCATCTTGTCGGACAGTTATCTATTCGACCGACCAATTGAGTTTACTGAATATTGAAAATCATTATCGGCCCAATTATTATGGATCAGATAATAGTTGACAACCAATTTAGTCGAGTAACAAATGGTCGGAAAAATGGATAACGATTTTTGGTTTATATTTTTATTTGAACTAAACATTTCCATGTTTTTTTTTATTATGTTTTGACAATTTCCATTACTTGACCTAAATATTTCCATATATTTATTACTTTGTTTTGACAATTTGCTGAGTCATTTTTTTTGTTGAATCAATTGAGTTCAGTCAATGTTGTTAGAACCGGGCCGAACCAGCCGGTCGGACCGGTTCGACTGTGACCCGACAATAAAGCGGTCTGGTTTAACATCTAAAATCGGTAAAATCAAAAATTGGGGTCAAATGACCAAAATTCGGTTCGAATGGGTAAAACCCAAGAACCGCCGAATCAATCAAGGAACCCAGCTTTCGGCCAAAACGTCTCGAATCACCGTTGAATTGGTTATTTGTGGCTAGATTTGAGCGAACCTTCATATACTTAGTAGTAGGTGGCCGGATCTAATCATGAGTGGTCGAAGGATTGTCGGATATGATCATGGGTGATCGAATAGGGGTGACCGGTTGCCGGATTTGAAGAATAAAAATAGAAAAATATATAAGCAATAAATATAATAAAAAGTGAGGTGAAGTAGATAAAAGTGAAAATAATAACTCGGAGTTTAAAAATATAAAGAAAATAATATTTTAAAAACATTAAAATTAATAAAATAATGGCATATTAAAAAAAATCAAAAATCCGGTTGAACCGGTTCGACCCTATGAACCCATGTCTCAAATGGTCGTCCGATTCTATAGCCGGTTCTAAAAGCATTGAGTTCAGTTAATTATCTATCTATCCTTCCCATCGAAATCAATTGATTTAAATTAGTTGACTCGAGATGAAGATGACACGGGACGAATTAACGCAACATTTGAAAAGGTAAAAGATTTTTAACTAACTAAATTGAAGATTTATTATTATTCTTTTTCTGTAACACATGGACAAAACAAACAAAAAAACTATATAATATATTGACCTAGAGATGAGAGTTTTTTCTCAAATTGAAATTGCCCTTAATTGGAATAAATTGTTAATTAGAAATAAAACAATAAATCAAATAACATTATCCAAATAGGTAAGGGAAAGCAAAAAGAAGAAGAGGTAAAATCTATGACGGCACTAATTATAATTACTGTTGGTTACTGCAAATTGCAAAACCCCCAAATTTCTGGAACCCTAGTTTTTGCCATTGGAATCTTCCACCATCTTACTCTTTTGACCATTCTCAATACCAAATCTCTATACATATGAATTCCTTTTTATGGCGATAAGCCCTTTCTCTCATACAGAATTGTTTAACCCTAGATCGTTGTTCTCCAATCTCCCATGGCCACCGACGCATCCCCGAAATTCCAGAAGCCGGACCTTCTCGCCGTGCCGCACCAGCCCGATTATCAACCTGCAATCGCCGCCGCCGCCGCGGTGGAGCACGACGGACTTCACTTCTGGCAGTTCATGGTCGCCGGCTCGACCGCCGGCATGGTGGAGCACATGTCCATGTTCCCCGTCGACACAATCAAAACCCGAATGCAAGCCCTAGGTTCCTGCCCGATTAAATCCGCCAGCGTCAACCAAGCGGTGCGTTCTATTCTCAAATCCGACGGCCCGAAGGGGTTCTACCGCGGGATTGGAGCCATGGCGCTCGGCGCGGGGCCGGCGCACGCCGTCTATTTCTCCGTTTACGAGTTCTGTAAGAAGAGATTCTCCGGCGGCAATCCGGACAATCACGCGGCGCACGCTGCCTCTGGGGTTTGTGCCACTGTTGTCAGCGATGGGGTGCTTACTCCCATGGATATGGTGAAGCAGAGGCTGCAATTGGGTGATAGTCCGTACAAAGGCGTGTGGGACTGCGTGAAGAGAGTGCTGAGAGAGGAAGGGTTTGGGGCGTTTTACGCTTCTTACAGGACAACCGTGCTGATGAATGCGCCCTTCACCGCAGTGCATTTCGCAACATACGAGGCTGCAAAGAGAGGTATGATGGAGGTCTCGCCGGAGAGTACGAGTGAAGAGACGTTGGTCGTTCATGCTACTGCCGGAGCAGCGGCTGGAGCACTGGCTGCCGCCTTGACTACTCCTCTTGATGTGGTCAAGACTCAATTACAGTGCCAGGTATTTTAATTTCAATTTCGTCTGTAATTGAAGTCTCTTTGTGTATTTTTGCCGTTTGAAAGATAAAAAAAGAGCATCTTGAAAGAAAGCCCTCTTCTAGCAGTTTGAAAGGCATATTTGTCTTCAATTCTTAATTCTATTTGCGCGTGAGTGGAAACGAACGGGCGTGTAAGCATCATTTCATTATATTTATAATTGCAAAGTAACTTGAGACTTGAGAGGGTACACCTTTTCTTTTGTTATATTAGGTGTGATAATTGTAGGAATTTCAACGTAAGTGTGTCAATCAGTTAATTTGTCCCTTCTAATTTGAACTATGCAACTGCAGTGCTGAAATAGGACGCATTAGTTTGACTTCTTTTTATATTTCGTTGAACCCCTTCGGACATATATTGTTTCCGTTTTAGATCTTATTGATGTTTTACTCTTCGTATCTCATATTGAATGTGTTAGTTTGTGGTGTAAATTCTTGTTAAGCCATGGGGTTTTAGAGTTGAATGAGATAAAAGTGATGAATTCTAGTAGAGCTGCGAAGTGTTGCTTTCACTCTCTGACCTCAGAGTCTGTTACATTTATGTGTATATAAATATCATTGGATCGTAAAAAAAATAACTACGAAGTGAAGTATCTATAAAGTAGCATAAGAATTAGTTGTCTAGTTTCTATACTTCGACCCATGATGTCTACATTAACTGGGCTCATCTGCAAGCAATTGCTTTTGAACTCAGTGGTATGTAAGTTTGTAACTGAGTCTGGCATGATCCAGTTTCATTAGAAAACCTCATAACCTACTGGTTTGAGTGGGGTGTGGGGGGTGTGGAATGATGTAAGAATTGTAAAAAGAAGAACAGCTTGAGAGAGAAAGGTGCTAGACAAGTTGCGGTTTTATATAAGCACCCTTCATTAATGAAACTGTAAGAAGTGGGTGTTCAGTTTTATTTCTTCAGGGACATGTCCTGCACCCCACCCCCACCCTCACCCCTTTTATTTCCTCTTCTTTCTGATATAATTTGCATGCCACAATTTCTCATTCATATATAACTTGGTTGGGTTGTCCGTTTCTTGATTTTTGTTCCCTCTATTATTGTCATACCATAGTTTTCAAATCATGATAACTTTTATCTGTTTCTGATTTAATATCACCTGTTAATTCCTAGGACTATGCTAAACACAATATTGTATAAAGGAAACTATATTATATAAGGGGTGTCATTTTAAGATAGTCCATGGCCTCGCAGTTTCTTTCAAAATCATCAAAAGTAGACGAGTCATCCAAACTAAACCGCCTATACCATGCTATAATGAAGTAATTTAGTTTAGTAGATTTTACAGCACTTTCTAAGTAGATACATATCAAACATGTAAATAATATCTTTTTGAAAACACAACTTAATATTTGGGCGTGATATTTTTATCAGCTGCTTTATTCGGTTTTTTGAGCTACAACTTTACGGAGTCCTCTTATTAACCGATTGAGTGGATTAAATTGCAGGGTGTGTGTGGTTGTGATAGATTTGTGAGTAGTTCAATACGGGATGTTGTTAGGACAATAGTAGAGAAAGACGGATACAGAGGCCTTATGAGAGGGTGGATGCCTAGGATGCTCTTCCACGCTCCTGCTGCAGCTATTTGCTGGTCTACTTATGAAGCTGCTAAATCCTTCTTCCAAGAATCAAACGACGGCAACAACCTCGCCTGAGAAAAGATAAATATAAAAAAAATAAAAAAAATAGATACACGATTTTTCTTTCTTTCGTTCTTTCTTCAGTTTGTTGTATTTGGAGAAGCACTCTATGATTGGGGAAGCACCATTGGAAGGAAGGAGAACTCACCCCCATATGACTTGGTTTTATTTATACAGATGCGGAGAGGCGAACATTTTAAGTATCTCGGAGCGGAGCGTGCGTTGCTATTTATATGTAACATTAGTTTGTGATTCGTTGCAATAATCTTGGTTCGAAGTAGAGGATCATTTTTCGTCGTTAGTTTGTGGACTGAGTTCTTAGACCCAAATTTGTGTAATTGCTAGTTCTAGGCTTGTTTCCCTGAAAATTTTGATCATTGAATGGTGATGAATCTGAGAGTTTTTATTTATTTATGTATGTTGTTTTAATTTTTTATTTATAATTGTCACTTGACTTTAGAATTATGCAGGGTAAAACCTTGAATGAAAATCCAAGCAAACAGCATATATATAATATGAGCATGTGCCTTGATATTCTGGTTCATTGCTTTCATTATTCGTTAATTCGATGTATTTTTCTGTCCATAAATTTCAATAAAACGTATATTTTTGTTCGATTAAGATGAATAGTATACTATAAAAAATATTTCTTTTCAATAAACATCGGTCACTAAGGTAGCCACTCGGGTCTCGAATCACCATATGAAGAAGGCGAGCTTTACGAGCTTAATGAGCTCTTCACCTGCCCAACAATTACAGTCACATCATCAAGTTTCCCACCTGTCCAGTTAAAAGAAACAAACACCATTCAATTTTTAGCATTGAAAAAAAAAACGTAAAATGCGACGGGAATTCGAAGTTATTTAACCGAATGAATAAAATCGTGCCTATTAACTTCATCCCCATAATTTTCTTCCACCAAGGAACATCAAAACCCTGTTTTAAAAGTTAAAAAAATAAAATAAAAACAAATCAGAATTTTCTCATTATAATAAATAGCATGTCGAAATTTATCAAAACTCACTTGGGTTCGAGCTTCTTGCGAATAGGGGGAATCGAAACTCGAATCCTTTGAATGATTATGAGCCAGGTTAGCTAATGCCTTTGCTAGTGTCCAAAACCACATATATATACCATTATCAGTAAGTTTCGGAAAAAAAAAACGAGCTTCAAGCATAACAATTAACGACAAACGGACTTTTTTTTACGAGAAACTTACCAGCATCAGAAACGTTATTGCATGAGCTGAGAACAGAAACGATTTCTCGATCAAAGACATTATCGAAGAGACCATCTGACCCCACCACAATAGTATCCTCTTCCATTAACTCCACAGTCGTAACCTGTATTTTCAATCAATTCGAAATATCTTAAATTGAAAAGGAAAAATCTAAGCTAATCGGAAATTTTAGTGGCTAAGAAATGTTTTAGGACGGAAGTGAATTTCGATACCGTTGCGTCAAGAAATGTCTGACCAATGGCCTCTGAACTCAACTGGTATGGGCAGTCGAAGTAATGTTCTTGCGGAGATGTAGAATACACTATTTGCCCTGTGATTAGCAAAGCAACAACAACATATATTTAACTCCAAAAAAAAAAAACCGAAAAAATAAACGGGAATAATACCTTTTCGTACGACTCTCAAGCCGCAGTCACCTACATTAGCGATCTTGAGTGTCCCGTTTCTTTCCAGCATAGCAACAACACTAAGATGCACATGGTGTAAATTAAGGATTGGTTTTGAAAGGGGATTTTATCAAACACCTGGTGGGCATAAAGAAAAGAAAATGTTTCAGAAGAACAAACATACGCAGTGGCGGAGCCAATGGAAGTGGTGGCGGCGTGTGCTTTCCTTATCAGATTCCGTGGATTATAGTCAACCTGTAAATGTATGAATTTACACCACATATATATATTAACCAAAAACAAGAAAACAATAAAGAAGAAAGAAAGAAAGAAAGAAACTTCTTGATCTTGGACAAAGATGGAGGCATTAGTCATAAGCTCGCGGGAGAAGAGAGCAGGATTCACATCTTTCTCAGCCCAACTGCCAAAACCATTCAAACTATTTATTTATGAGGGTTTCTTCCTTTTGTTTTTATACAGTGCAGCAGCATACAAGACTGGGAAAGAAAATTGGATTACCCAGAAACACCATCGGCGACTGCAATAACTCCTCCACCGTGGCTGCTAACGAAAAATGCATCTTCTCCGCCTTTCTCAACCTGCACATTAAAAAAAAAAAAAAGCCCCTGTTCAACAGAAGAAACACAGAAAAGAAAGAAAAACAGAAGTAATTAATTGTACCTTGTCGGGATGTGGAATGAGGTGGGTTCCGATACTCAAACACACACCTGCCTCTGAACTACTACAAGAAAGAAGAAGTGGGGCTTCAAGAATTAATCTGAAATGGGATTATATGAATGAATGAATGTGTAATGAAACTATTACCCAACAAAATTGGAGGAAACAGGTGGTGATGAAGAAGAAGCACAACAAAGCAGCTTGTTGTAAGAAAAAATGGGATGGTGCAAGTATCTGTGTCTGTGTGTAGTAGTAGTAGTACTGTAAGAAGAAATAGTTGTAAACAGAGGAATTGCCATTTCCCACCAAGCTACGAAAAATATCACTTGCTCCTCCTGCTTTCTTTCTCTTCCCACCAAATGATTACAACCAAAACAAACCAGGGACGTGAGTTTCTCTTTGCTCCACGTAAGCAAAGTAAAGCTTTTGTTAAGTAATTTATGTTGTATAGATTCAACAAATCAGCACCAGTGGTCTAGTGGTAGAATAGTACCCTGCCACGGTACAGACCCGGGTTCGATTCCCGGCTGGTGCATTTACTTTTATTTTTTGTTTTAACATTTTTATTTATTTTAAAAAAGTTTAATTTATTGAATAATGAGTATAGAGGCATTGAAGTATTTTTTTTCTAAACTGGTTATGATTTGCTATAGAAGATACTAGATAGGTGAAGTATATATGGAAAATTAGCTCATTTTCTCCGAGATATTGCATGCAGACGATGAGAAATACTCTTCTCATTGAGTTGTCGAAAGATTATTAGTGTTAATTAAGATCGACGGGGCTTAATCACGAAAAAAAGATGATGTTTTAAATAATGTTATGTGTATACACTAAAAAGTAAATCCCTATAAACAATGCTGCACATTAACTTACAAGTTTCGATTATTCGGGAAACAACGATATACAAGTTTTTAGTACATACTTTTCTACTGTATGTGAACTTCAGAGGGTCTTGATCATATAAAAGAAGCCTTTATACCACCAGTCTTTCTCCGGAAAGCTTTATGTTGTGCCAAGCCAGCAATTCCCTAAAGTACCCCTCAATGTTTCGGGCGCAAAGAGAAGCTCCGACAGATTCACTGATTTCTCCATGAATATGGTCATAGATCATTTGTCTCATATCGGAGACTTGATAAATATGGAAATGAACAGAATGGGAACACGATTTTGCATAAACTGTTTCGGTGATGTGAGTAAAGTGGGATTTGAATTACCTAGATTGCCCTTTGAACTGCGCGCTCTTTATGTATAATCAACTACTTGGAGCTCACTATGTACATCTCTTTTGCTCCTGATTGCCCTTGCTCTACCTTCTCGTATTTCGAGAACCTGGTGAAAATAAATAAAAATAATCATGATTATACAATTGTTTCATCTATTTCTAACAGATCATCGAGGCCCGACGAAATAAAAAATTTACTTCTATAGAAAACAAATACAATTGTGACAGTACAACTTTACATGAAGAAAAACCACGTCTTATTCATCTTTGTTTATGCAAATTTACCAATCTTATGTCTTTACTTAGTTACATTTTTTTTTTTATATTAAAAAAAAAATAGTTATAGTGATGGGGTGCAAGGAATTGAGTTCTGTAAATGTAGAAAGGTGATCAGATGTTATACAAAATTTACAAAGCTGTCGAGAGTTATGAAATACAGTGAAACAACCGTTTACCTCAGGCCTTGAATCAAGAACTCCACTAGACATCCCGACATCAATGCGCCAAATACTACAGTTGAAATCGCTGCAGAACAAAGTAAACTCTCGTTCAGTTCAGAGACAATTAAATCACAATCATTCCAATCTGGGTACAAGTTTCATTGCCGTATATTTTGGAGATTTCCAGGAGTGTTTCGTAGCAGACTAAGACTTAATTGGCATTTAACTATAGAAACGACGGGACTGAAATAGGTATGTCAAAAGTCCTCTAGTGCTCATAAGTCGTATGGGTTGTATGAACTTTTTGCAGGAATAAAGAAACGAAAACACATTCAAGTTTCTTTACCAATTCACTCCCGTCACTTGTGGAGTATGCCCGACCACCATTGCCTTGGCACCTACTGCTTGAAGTGTCTCCCGGAGAATAGATTCGATCTGATAAGAAGCAAAAGACTCTTAATCACATACACGGTACGGTTCAAACAATAAAACCGATCAACTGTCCATCAAAAGAATATTTATATATAATTGGCGAAGCGACAAACATATTCAACTGAACTGCACAACGTCAAATGCTTTCATAGGTACTCAAAAGGGAATGAAGCCTTGACCTCCCACCCAAGAAAGTCAACTTGTGACACTAGGCCATCAACCATATGATCAATATAACAACTACCTGATTGATCTGATAATCTTCCAGATCCGATGTGTCTCTTGAGTATAAACGACTCCATACGACACTGTCATACCCTCTGGTAGCTATAAACGGGATTTGTGGATAATCATCTTCTGTGCCGAGGCCTTCCATCCAATAAGATACTTCTCTATTTATCCTCTCTATCCCGTACTCAACTGCACCAGCACAAAAGATCAGTAGTCAGTAGGATTATTTTTTTAAATATCCAAACCACGGAGAGTAGGGAGTGAAGCAATTACCATGATGAGGAAGAAGGCCACCATGACAGAATATCCAGTCATTGACTTTCAGAACAACTGCATGCCGTGCCAATTCAGATGCCAATGGACCGCCTGGTCTTAGGAGAACTGATCTTGCAATGACTCCTTTCTGTCGCTGTCCTAATAGTCAGACGACTGAATTAGAAAGGAAATACTAAACCTGGATTAAACTATCTAATTCAGACATTAGAAATAGTTGACGCTGATTGGATTACGTTAAAAAGAAAAGCTTTTGTCAACAGAAATCAATATATTCAATTTCAATGATATAATCAAAATCACTACTTACCTTCACCAAATTCCATGGACCCCAAGAATTTTGCTGCACCTTACGATCCTCTTTCCATCTTTTAGATACACCAGCCCAACCAACAAATGCTTCTTCCCAGTTATGGTCACAGATTTCCAAATGTTCAAGGAAGTCAGCGCACTCATCGAATCCACCGGAATCAACATATCTAAAATCCCCTTCCACGTTCATGGTTTCATGATTTCCGTTAACCTAGAAATATAAGAAGGTTAGAGAATTAACTCTCTATATATGTGAAAATAAGAACTCACTGGTTTAGTAGTTCCGGCTTTGAAAGTAGAAGAAATTTATTCAACAATAGTATGGTAGAATAACAAGGTGCATTTTAGTAGTTCACTGGCAATCTAGATTTCAAGATACACGCAGAAGCACAACAGACCTGGAAAACTGCACCTCCATTAAGTTTCGCCTGGATATTTAATGACTTCAACAGGGATAAAATTGCAATTTCATCTTCACCCCTATCAAGTATATCTCCAAGTTGTACTAATACCTGATCATGAATAAAAAGTTTCAATAATAAGGTTCATTAAGCTCCTCAACAACCATCTAATTCGAAGTACAGTGTGCATATTGAAATACGCATTACAATTATCCTCTAAAACAGAGTTTCCTATGTTTCTAAAATAGCAAAAGATGCATACCGTTTGTCCACCAATCCACAAATCTTGACCATCAGAACTCAAGATACCAGCCATCTGAAGAGCATATCTAGCTTTATCAAGGTCTCCATGCAAATCTCCAACTGGTAGTCATAACAACAAAATAAGTAACACGGCAAAATGAATGATGTTTATGACCAAAATTTTGTTTATTAGAGAATATTCAAGATGTATGTCCCAGCACAGTTAAACTTCTAAAGAGGCAGTATGACAATCGTCGATCATCACCTTTCCATTCTTTTATCGCTCGTGAATCAGGTAACACAAATTCTTTATATCATCACATAGATGATCCATATAAAAGTTCAACCATAATGTGTTAATGACATACTAAAATGTCTGAATAGTTATTTGGAAGTGTCTTATAGTAGGTGCGTTCCCTACGGTAGCTCACACAACGTGATGTCAACTAAATCAGCTATTGTATAGAAGAAACAAGGGGGACCTCATATTATCACGTGAAAGGATAAACAATTTATTGAAATGGTCTCTACTTAAAAAAGACCTTCAGTTAAATAAGTTTCAGAATTCCTAATACAAGTATAAGGTAAATCGCTCTTGATATAGTAAAGCTCAACTTAAGCCCGATCACAGAGCTCGAATACAGGAATTCAGAAGCTTGCAAGTTCTTTTTTTTTTTTTCTAGATTTTGATATGTCATCTTATTAGCTAGTGAAAAATAACTCAAACTAATTTAAAAAAATTGAAATTGACATTTCTCAGTTGGATAGCATCAACTCGTCTTCATTTGCACCTCCTCTACAGATCTACATAATTCTTATAAACACAACAGGTCAGATACACCAGTATCCTACTATGCATAAGCTAACGGATTCATATCAAATGGAAAACTAATTTCAGCAGAAAACAAGGAAAACACACTCACACATGTAATCTTTGATTATTAACAGCACAAATTCAAATTATCGGCAATAAGCATTATATACACCACCTCCTCAAACACTTTCCAAGTACTCATCACAAATACCAATTCAACAATCTACAGCCCTCCAATCCATAATCGTCGTTACTAAAGAACAGCATATCGAAAGACATACAGTAAACAACAAGAAGCATCCAATACAATAGCTAATCTACACCCAAAAAAAAAAATCAATACAAATTTCATTTCACATTATGATTATGATTTCTAAGTTAAAAGTCGTAAAAAAGGGCAGATATATCATATGTGATAAGTCCATCAGAACACAATTGCAAAAACTCCGCTAACGCACGCAAACTACTTGTAAAAATGCCGCATCCAAAAAAATGATCACATGACATCCATACCGGCAATGATTCGGCGGCCGGGGGCGGAGACAGAGGTCGGCGGATCGCCGTTCACTACTATCGGCTTCAAGCTTACCCCAGCAACAACAGTACTCTCGGTATTGCTGCTTCGACTTTTGCTGAGGCCTTGCTGTGGAGTTGACGCCGTTGAAGCGCAGCAACACACGGCGTCGGAGAATTTGTGCGGCTGCTGCTGCGTGCGAAGATATAGCGTTTGCGGCGGCAACGAGCAGCCGAGAGGGACGGGAGCCATTTTTTTCGTCTTCTGCTTTATCGCTCAGCTCCTCAAATTCATCTCTATTTTTGTATTGTGTTTCGAGTGAGAGCGTCCACACATTTTGCCACGGAGTTTTTCCTTTGGCGAAAAATCGTAGATTTTTTTGGTTTCTATTTGAATTATCGGTTAATTATTTAGAGGAATTGCGTGAATAAAAACCTAACAAATGTAGCCCCGTTATTTTAACTGTTGGCAAATAAGTCCCCACGGACCGCCAATTGACGAATTTACCCTCCTGACTTCATATATATTAGGAGTTAAATGCAACAACCTCCCCTGTGTTAATCCTAAAGAACAGAAAACCCCCTGTGAAAAAAAAAGTGACTCATAACCCCCTGTAATCTATTTAAGTAAGTACACTCGACCCTTTTTTATTTCACCCGTTGACCGCCTGCGAAAAGACAAAAAAACCCTTCAGTAAAAGCGTGAAATTATCAACAGATTTACACACACTCTCTCTCTAACTGTGAAAATCCCCAAAATTCCAAGAAACCCTAAATTCTGAGAAACCCTAAATCGATTCCCCAATATTAGTCCGTAAATTCTTTTGGTTCGAATCCACACAAGGTGAAGTGAAGCGATTGAAGCCATTGACATGAAAATATAGAAGACTGTTGAGGTGAGTTTTACCCTTCTTTATTTCAGATCTTCTGCTTGTTTTGTCCCGTTTTTTTATGTTTGGATTGTGGTCTCGCATATACTACTTTATGAGTATGAAATTTAATGTTTTTTTGTCGGTTTTTCTTTGTTTATGTTTGATTGTTGTTGGGTCTTGTTCTATATAACAATAAATATAATCTATGCACATGGTTAATATTTAAGAATATTTGTGGGGTACAGAGCTTTGCAGTATCGAAGTTGAATATAAAAGTAAATTGTTTTTGTCTCAGTTTATGAATTAAATAATGTTTCCTTGCAACATGGTCCATCTTTTGATTGTTTAGAATTTTGTCTTTATACAGGATGGACCACTATTGTACATTTAATGTTTGGTTGGATGGAAAGTTTGTTCAAAACGATAAATTAACTTATGTTGGAGGAAGACAAGACCAAGTCTATGATGTGAATTTAGACTACCTCAACTTGGACACACTTTACAAGATTTATAGGCTCTGTGGAGGAAAGAGGTTTGATATACAATTCTACTTCTTGTATCCTGGGCAACCACTTGATTATGGGTTGAAGGTTGTGGAAAGTGACATTGGCATCCAATTTTTGATTGATGTACACCAAGGACTAAACCATGTCACATTGTACACAGAGGAGCTTGGTATAGAACCACTTATATCAGTTGACAGAAATGGGAACATTATTCATCCAGCACCAGAAAAAGAAATCCCTCTGTTGTTGCAAGAACCTGAAGAAGTTCAAGCAACAAATGAAGAATTGCCTCCACTTACTGATGATGTGCAACCAAGAGCTGAAGATGAATTGCCTCCAATTAGTGATGAAGTGCAACCAAGAGCTGAAGAAGAATTGCCTCCAAATAGTGATGAAATGCAGCCAAGAACTGAAGAAGAATTGCCTCCAAATACTGATGAAGTGCAGCCAATAGCTGAAGAAGAATTGTCTCCAATTACTGAAGAAGTGCAACCAAGAGCTGAAGAGCCTCCAACAACAAATTATACAAGCTCTTCTGAATTTGATGATTCATCTGATACAGACTACATTCAACCTGATCATGATGCTGATGACATAGATTCAGATGCTCCAACTGAAGTGTTGGAAGACATTGAAGGGTCTTCAGAAGATGATATTTTTGTGGAAAAGGTTATCACTAAACAAGACCAAGTGAAGAAGCTGAAAAATATGTTGAGGAAATCTAGAAGAAAAAGGCCCAAATTGCAGAAGTATAGTATTGATCCATCTCCATCAGAGTGGTTTAGTGATGCAGATGATGATGATGAAATTGAGAATCTAGATGACAGAAATGAGTGTAACAGGTATCCTATATACACTGAGGGGCAGAATATGAAAAATAGGGACTTGGAAGTTTGTATGAGGTTTCCAAGTATTGAATTATATAGAGAGGCTCTTAGAGATTGGGTTGTGAGAAATGGATATGAGTTGGAGTATGTGAAGAATGAAAGAAAAAGAGTCACTGCAAAGTGCAAGGCAGATGGGTGCAACTGGAGGATTCATGCATCAGTTGTTCAAGGTGGTCCAGTATTTCAGGTATAACTAATACTTTTAAAATTTGATACATGTTTAAGAACTTATATGAAATTATAAAAGGCCCAACTTGTTTATAACATGTTTATGAACTTATATTGCAGATCAAGACTATTTCAGGTGAGCACACATGTTGTAAAGTGAAGGTCAACAGACATGCTAATGCCAAGTATATTGGGAAGAGACTGGAACAAGGAATTAAAGATAATCCAGACATTTCTATAGTCAAGCTGCAAAATACAATCTTAAGAAAAGTTGGTGTGGATGCTGGATACTGGAAGGCCAAGAGAGCAAAAAAAGCAGCAATGGAGAGGATTAGAGGAGATGATGCAGCAGAATACAAGCTATTGTGGGACTATTGTGAAACAGTGAGGGACAAAAATCCTGGTTCTAAGATGTTACTCAGAAAGGTACTCTATTCAGAACCCCCTATCTTTGATAGAATGTATTTCTGTCTTGATGCAATGAAAAGGGGATTCATGTCTGGTTGTAGACCTTTAATTGGTTTGGATGGGTGTTTCCTTAAAACATTTCATGGGGGGCAACTTTTGGCTGCTGTTGGTAGAGATGGCAATGATAATTTGTTTCCTATTGCACTTGCTGTTGTGCCTGTTGAGAATAGGGAGACATGGACTTGGTTTATTAGTGCATTACTTGAAGATATTGGTGGTGTAGAAGAAACCAAATGGACTTTCATTTCTGATAGACAGAAGGGGTTGTTGGAGACATTGAAAGAACTAGCACCTGGTTGTGCTCATAGGTTCTGTGTGAGACATATATACCAGAATTTCAGAAGTAAGTGGCCATCTGAAGATCTGAAGACACTGTTATGGAAAGCTGCATCAACTGGAAACAAGAATACATTTGCAATGCATATGACTGAGATTCAGAAGATTGATAGAGCTGCAGCAGAATGGTTAAGGAACATCCCACCTTGTCACTGGACCAGATCACACTTCACCACAAGTTGCAAATCAGATGTGCTAGTCAATAATTTGTGTGAATCTTTCAACAATATGATCCTTCAAGCAAGGGAGAAGCCTATAATCAGCATGTTTGAATGGATTAGGAGAAGGTTGACAACTAGACACCAAACAAAAAGAACTGGGATGGAGAAGTATGAAGGCACAATTTGTCCAAACATCTTAAGAAAAATCAACAAGTTCCAGCAGACAGCAAGAAATTGTTTTCCTACTTGGTGTGGGAGGGATGAATTTGAGGTTCAACACTGCTTGGATACATACATTGTGAAGTTGACTGATAGGACTTGCTCATGTGGCATATTTCAGCTGTGTGGGTTCCCATGTGCTCATGCATGGGCATGCATTGCAGAGAGGAGATACAAGTTGGAGGATTATGTGGACAACTGCTACAAAAAAGAAATGTATTTGAAGACATTTGAACACATGATACATGCTGTTCCAGGGCAGAGAGATTACTTGAAGACTTCTTATGAACCACTTGCAGCACCAACTCCAAAGATAAAGAGGGGGAGACCTAAAAGAATGAGAAGAAAAGCACCTGAAGAGCTGCAGAGGCCCTCATTCAGAAAGGGCTTGACCCATACATGTAAGAAGTGCATGCAAAGAGGCCATAATAGTAACACATGCAAGAATCCAAGAGCTCCAAGAGCACCAGCAGCTCCAAGAGCACCAGCAGCTCCAACTGCATCTTCTGCCCCTCCAACAGCTTCAAGTGCACAAACAACTGGCCATACTGCATCTTCTGCCCCTCCAACAGCTCCAAGTGCACAAACAACTGGCCATACTGCATCTTCTGCCCCTCCAACAGCTCCAAGTGCACAAACAACTGGCCATACTGCATCTTCTGCCCCTCCAAGAGCTTCAAGAGCACAAACAACTGGCCATACTGCATCCCCTTCATTGGTAGTGAAGTCAAGAACTCCAAGAGCTCCTCAATTTATGAGATCTGGATGTAGTGCACCTCCACCAGTTTCCTCTCAAGAGTCAATGGTTGTGAATACAAATGCAGCTCAACCATCAAGGGTAAAATGTAGTTTTCTTGATTTGTAGATAGTGAGTTTACTTGAATTTAACTTACTTTATATTGATTGTAGGTTTACCAGGGGAGAAGAAATGCAGCTCTGCTTGGACATGGAAATGAGGCCTCATCAACTGTAGAAGGTGGTGCTAGTTCAACCAATCCCAAAAGAAAAAGGAAGGTCCAGATTTCTGAAGTGCAAAACATCAAAGATAGGTCCAAGAAGAAGATGTGGAAGATCTAGAAAGCAAGTGATGATGATAATCCAATTTTTGTTATTGCTTATTATGAAGCCTTTTTGAAAAAACAATATTTTTGAAACTTCTAATTTTGTATGTTTTTAGCTTCTTATGAAGACATTAGTAACATTGACTGTATTAGTAACATTCAGCCATTGTCAATGCTTCTTTTGTATGTTTTTAGCTTCTTATGAAGACATTAGTAAAACTCAGTTTGTTTGAATGTTCTTAATATATTTATTTGACATTATTGTTTTTGTTTGAAGTTAAAGCAGGTTTGGGGAAAGTGAAATTTTAGGATTGATCTTGCCATTTTTTTTTCTGAGTTGGTTGGTTATGAAACATTATGTTGGTTCTTTTTTTCCAGTAAGAATATTTGGTAAACAACTACATAAAAAATTAAAAAATGAAATTGGAACAAACCAAACTATATTTTCATTAGAAATTGGAGCAATTGGAATATTGAATACAAACAAGACAAACATAACAACAAACTGCTTAGTACATCAAATATTACAATATCCATCACTGCCTCTAAATGTTCTAAATCTTCTGCAAAAGTACCATCACCACAACAAACAACAATGCGCATATAACCCAGGAAATTTGAAAATTGTTACCACAATCTTTTGCACTCGATTTATGAACACTTGTGCATCTCGATATTATTTCATCCTCCTCCTCAACTTTATCCTGCACTACATCTTCGCAAGATGGATATTTGATAGGAATCCCAACGGGTTCCCACGTAGCTCGAATCGGGGCGCACCATTCGAAAAATTTACATCTTCGGATTTCGCAGTTATGATACAACCTACCTATTGACGGTTTTGTTGTTGATTCAACAATCTTCAGAGAAGACCTTTGCCCGCAATAACAAAACGGAGGTGTGGCGTAACGCAAATCCATATGCAGCTTCATATTTCTTCTCTTTGCAGCGGTGTTGGACGAAGAGGAAGACATGAGCTCGATTGACCCCTAATTTCGGTTTGTGAGAGGAAAGGAAATATAAACCCTAATTTCAGATTGTAAGAGGGAATATGCCCTCTTTACAAAGAAGTAAATACCAGAGGGGCAATAATGTCCTTTTGCATAAAAAACGTTCATAATTCGGATGAGTAGTCGCACAAATAGCGCGTGAACGACACAGGCGATCTGGAGGGGGGGAAACGACTTTGACTATAGATTACAGGGGGTTATGAGTCACTTTTTTTTTCACAGGGGGTTTTCTGTTCTTTAGGATTAACACAGGGGAGGTTGTTGCATTTAACTCTATATATTAGTGATGGGGGCTAATTTGGCAAGGTCGGGCCAACGAGCTGAAAACGAGTCCATTGGGCCAGAGTTCGAAGGATAGAGAGGATTCGGGCAGCTAGCCTATTAAATACACAAGCCTACTAAACGAAGAGCTGACATTATAAAGTAGACGTCCGCTTCTTAAGCTCGCACGAAGTAGAGTCGTAGACACTCGCTCCTTACCCACTCGTGAAATAGAAAAGAGACCCCAACGCAGTAGGTGGCGAACTGACCAGGGAAGGCATATTTGAAGATAAAACGCAAAAAATATATAAATTTGAGGTACGAATTAAGGGCGGATAATATTATTAAATTATAGGGAATATTGTACAATATATAGACTTGTTGAGAGAGGAAAGAACCATTGTAAAACATCGTATGTAAAAGAATGTACGGAGCTCTTGTAGGGGTATGTTTTTACAATAATACAAGAACACACACTCTTTTCTATACTCTCTACTCACTTATACTTTTCGTCGGTATATTCTCTTGTTTTATGCTATAATAAAAGTAAACATAAAAAAAAAAAAAAAAGTAATTTTCAAAAAAATCTTCTTGTTTTTGTTATTTATCATAAGTAATATTGGTGGAGAAAATAAGAACACATATTGATATATCATAGACAAAATTCAGAATCAAATGCTTAATGATATAGGTCGATCGGCAGCCAATTTAATATATGCAAGAAAATAGAATGGGAAATTAATCATAAAAAATTTCTAATTAACATTGCATTAAATACCTATAGTTGTATCGATGTGTGTGTGTGTGTGTGCAGGTAATTATATAATTGTTCCAATAAATGTCCTTATTACAATATTATGAAATTTCCATTTATGCCCTTTATCCTTTGTGCCAGTTCAGTCACCCCTCCTATATATATAGGACCTTGCCTTTTCATTCAACTCATCCACCATTTCCATTCTTGAAAACCTCCTTAATTCTCTTATACATGATATATACATACATATAATATGTATGTATATATATATAGTGCTAGCTGAAAAATTTCTTAGTATAAGAAGGATCTGTAAAGCTCAGGAGGGATAGCGCCATATATATACACACGATCGATCTCGCTAATTTAGTACTTAATCCATGGCGCTATCCATCCTGAGTTTCACCGCTCCTTCTTGCTCGCTTACAACTCGTCGCAGATCTATATATAATACACAAACACACACACAAGGTTTTTTTTTTTTTTCTTTTTTTCTTTGCTGCATGCTTTTTTCTCTTTATTCAAAATTATTAAATTATTCCTACATATATTAGAGTTTTTGTGTTGGTTTGTGAGAGGGGTGACATTGCATTGCAGCTTCCTCTATTTTATTTCACAATTTAATTTATTTAAAATTCTCCCTTTTTTTTGTGGTTTAGAGGAAATAATTAAAATATATTATTACTGCAGCTTAATTTTGTTCTTTGATATTAATTTTAATTTGATATATTTTGGCTAGTGTGTGTTAGCTAGAGAGAGAGGAATAAATTAATGCATGCATGCAGTCTGAAGCATGATACGCATGCATGCACCATGCATCAGAAGCATTTAATTGTATCAGTTATTAAGGTTTTAGGGTTTCTTTTATATTCTCATCAAAAAAAAAAAAAAAAAAGGGTTTCTTTTATATGTTTTTTAATTAATTTTTGTTGTGCAGGCTTTTTAATAATGACCGCCATTAATATTTAGACTGTAGATGTTTGACTCCTTTTTTCTACTTATCATCTTAGCATTGTTCATTTGTCCAATGTACACTAGAACGACAGTTTGACTCCTTTTTTCTACTTATCATCTTAGCATTGTTCATTTGTCCAATGTACACTAGAACATCGGTGTATCAATACTCGATAAATTAATAACATTATTTGAATAATAATTTTTTTCAGTTTCGACTCGATGAGAACATGCTAGTTGTTGATTCGATAATTTAATATTCTGTTAAATTAATAGAATTTTGTTAGTCTTAATTATATTAATTTCATCTAAATGGTGAACGATATATTTGTATACTCTATAAAAACCAATAAACTGATTTTTAAAAGGTACCTAAGTTAACACATACTTCCATTTTTTTTTGGATAATTAAGCTCCCGAGATAAGGTTAAATTACAAAAATATCTCTTATTTCTTGGTATTACAACCACCCATCAATTATAAATTTTCTTACACGTCTACTTTTATGGTGTCAAATTCAACACAATTTTCTAGATTTAATTTCATGGAATGTTCTCTAGTTTGTACTCGTTTTGTGCAAAAATGCAGTTTTTGATGCACCGTAATCTGATATTTACAAGCCAAGAGATACATCTCACGATCATCTTGTTTCTAAATGTGGAGCTCGAATGTGATAAAATTTAAAACAAACTGAAGAATATTGCACATAATCTAGAAGATTCTACTAAATTTGACACAGTGCAACCGTAAATATGTAAGATGATTCATAATTGATGGGTGGTTATAATTACCAAAATATGAGGAGTTTTTTCGTAATTTAGCAAGCTTATATCTAATATCTAATGGATTTATTTAAATAATCCAAGATTTGAAAAAAAAAAAAATCAAAATCAACAAGAAAGGAGAAACACTAATTATATATTTAACCTGACTCTCCAAAAAGTGATAAAAAACTACATTAACGGTTATCCAATCCCTTTCCCCCCTCTCAATTTCACCTTTCCGCCATGCGCATGCACCATGATCATCAGATGAAACTTTCCTCGCGCGTACAAAATTCCCCCGTTAATGGTGAACACCGCCCGCCTCTTCGAACCCTCCGACCTCTTCAACAATGGTCTTATCGTATGCCAGAAGAAGCCGAAGGAGCACTCCTACGGTATTTTCTATGGCGAAAATCCATTGGATTTCACTTTCCCCCTTGTCCTGTTGCAGATGTCGCTCGTCATCCTCGTTACTCATCTTCTCCATTTTCTGCTCAAGCCCTTCCGACAACCTAAGATTGTCTCCGAGATTCTTGTGAGTTTCTCTTTCCTTTCCTCCTCCTTTTCTTTTTTATGCTCGCTTTCTGTTTGATGAAATGTCTGACCGAATTTGTTTTTTTTTTTTTGCTATTAATATAGGGTGGGATTATACTCGGACCGTCTGTACTAGGCCGGAACGAGAAATACCGTGCCTACATGTTCCCGGTTAACTCCTACTACATGATTAGAAACATAGGAGTTGTGGGGTTCATGTATTTCTTCTTCTTGGCCGGAGTGAAGATGGACATTACTGTAATAACTCGAGCACGAAAGAAACATTGGTACATCGGTCTGGCTGGAGTAGTGGCACCCTTCTGTTCTAGTCTAACCATCGCGTTTCTGGAAAGAAAATCGCTCGATAAGGAAACCGCAAAAGCTTCCTCTATTTGGGGGATTAGTTCGTCTCTCTCCATGGCATCTTTCCCTGTTCTGTATCCTATAATCAGAGAGCTCAATCTACTCAGCTCTGGAATCGGAAGAATGGCTTTGTATACAGCAATTGTCAGTGATGTAACGGGGATGAACACGCTACTTATATTCGAGGCTTGGAAACAAGGCGAACACAGGGCTATCGTAGCTTTATGGTACGTTGTTTGTTTCATGGGCATTGTTACGTCCATTGTGGGTGCCGCCAGGCAGGCCATGCTGTGGATTGTCCGAAATACCCCTGAAGGGAAGCCGGTGGATCAGATATACGTGGTCACTATCTTGGCTGCGGTTATGGTCGTTGGGTTTATTGCTGACATGTTCGGGCTAACCATAGTCAACGGGCCCCTTTGGCTTGGTCTTGCTGTGCCCGACGGCCCCCCCTTGGGGGCCATTGTTGTCGAGAAGAGCGAGACGTTCGTGAGGAATATTTTCATGCCGTTTTCGTTTTTGTATATAGGCATAATCTTCGATTTTTCGTATGTGAGCGAGCAGTGGTCTCAGTTGAAACCGTTTGTTCTCATGGTTTTGGCCGCATTCGTGGCGAGACTGGTTTCGACTCTCGTTGCTTCTCGTTTCTTCGACATGGTGGTGAAAGACAGTCTTGCCCTTAGCCTGATAATGAGTTTGAAGGGGGAGGTGGATATTCTGCTGTTTCTCCACTTGACAGATAGAACGGTAAACACATTACGTTATCCGATATTCTGATTCTCGATTTTTCCGATCTTTTTTCGGATTGGAATTGGAATTATATATATATATATATATATATATATATATATATATATATATATATATATATATATATATATATATATATATATATATATATATATATATATATATATATATTGGAAATTCTGATTTTCGATCCAATTGTTATCCGAAAAAATTACAATTTTTCCTTATTATTTTATTAGATAATTATTTTATATTATATTTATAAAAATATATCACATATTGTATACTTGCTATGTGTGACTAGATTAGTTTTGTATTTAACTAACTCATTAGACAAAGACAATTTATTTGTAATTTTTTTTTTGTTGAATTACAGAAATTTCGAATATTTCCAAATAAATTTCCGAAATTTGTTCCAATTGTGATTTCTTTTTATGTAATTTCCGAATATACAAAATTTCTCGAATTGGAATAGATTTTCATTCCAAAAATTTTGGAATTGGAATTGGAATCGGAAGTTGTATTTAATTTCCGAAAAAAAATTCAATTTTTCCGAAAGGCTCGTTTTCGATATTTCATATTTCTTGATTTTCTTTCCTTGTTCCGGTTGGTTCTAGAATCTTCTTTTTTTGACTCGCAGATAATAGGGCGGGAACATTTCACCATTATCGTGATAACTGTAGCGTCCGTGACCGCCTTAGTGACACCCTTGATAAGTATACTCTACAACCCCACAAGACCATACATGGTGAACAAGAGAAGAAATATCCAACACTCCCCTCCGAACACTGAACTCCACATTGTCGCTTGTATTGACGGTGAAGAAAATCTCTCCGGCGTATTGAAATTACTAGAGGTCTCGAATCCAACTGTGAACAGTCCTATATCAGTCTACACTCTGTACATGGTCGAACTCGTCGGCCGTTCGAACCCAGTTCTCATTGACCACAAAAAAGAAAACCAAGAACAAGTAGTATCGGATAACTCAAACTTCAGTTCAATTCAGCACGCATTGAGAATTTTCCAGGAGACAAGAGGCGAGTGCTTGAAGATTAGTTCCTACACAACAATCACTTCCAAGAAAAGCATGTATCAAGACATTTGCGAGCTGGCGCTTTCCAAGAAAGCTTGTATGATTATCGTGCTGTTTAACAAGAACAACGGGGTGAACTCTAATGTTTTGGCACACGCGCCTTGCTCGGTCGGAATTCTCGTTGACAGAAGCAGAAGCCCGTTCCAGAATCTCGTTAAAAACTCGATGCACCGCCACTTGGCGGTTATTTTCCTAGGTGGAGCGGATGCAAGAGAGGCACTATCGTATGCCGATCGAATGGCTGTAAATCCGGATATATCACTCACCGTAATTAGGTTTCTGTCGGACGAAAACGAGGGAGATAATAAGATGGAGAAGAAGCTTGATGATGGACTTGTGACTTGGTTTTGGGTGAAGAGCGAAGGGAGTAATCGGATAGTTTATAGGGAAGTTGTGGTGAGAAATGGGGAAGAAACGATTGCTTCGATCCAGGCTTTGGATAAAGAAAGGTACGATCTTTGGATCGTGGGGAGGAAGAATGGAATAAATCCGGTTCTTCTGAAAGGGTTATCGAATTGGAGCGAGAATAACGAGCTTGGAGTTATAGGAGACTATGTTGCTTCTGCAGATTTCGATAGCAGGGCTTCGGTTTTAGCGGTGCAACAGCAAGTTTTACGAGGTCAAGACAAGGGTTCTTCGACTAGTGTATTAGGAGGTTATTCTTTCTGTACAAGAAAGTAGTAGATATTGTACAAGTGTACATAACCATCAATCAAATGTAATTTTAGCATGTATGGAAGTTGTTATTAGCTTAAAAGTTGTTATTAGCTTAATGAAATTTTCTCTTGCAACACCGACACCTTTTGGGATCGACCTGGTTCTCTGTAAATCGAAAATTTGAACCATAGAAAATACATAGCCAAAAAAACATATATATTTATCTATCCAAACAAAACTTTATTACTCCACACAGTCAAAAACTACCAAAAACCTTAAAATCGGAGACAATCGTCCAAACGGTCGAACTAAGGAAAAGCTGCCATAGGATTCCCACATAAACCCTCAATGTGCTGCATACATCATCACTACAAAATATTCTAAACATTCGTCTGGATTTTGCATTCTTTGGAGGTACAAATGACCTAATTTTATCGTGAAGTTAAAAAAGCAACGGTAACAAATCCATAGAAAATAAGAGAGATGCATGCCGTTTTAGTTGGTCATTCAAGAAAGCCAAAATGATGTTCTTGTTTGTGTATACATTCCCATTTTGCCCTTTTCCCAATATCGACCAATCAAGGGAGGATCTTCCGGCGCCTACGTGGCGTCTCTCGTTTGACGAACATTTTCTCAAAGTCATTTAGAGGCCTAGTTGAGCCATCCGCTTCACTTACAAACTTCCACCCACCTCCACTGCCACGTTTGCCTTTCGAACCCAATTTCTCCACCATGAAATTCCAGCCTTCAGATGGGCGCCTCCTGCTGTATTTATGGCATTTCACCTTGTTCGCCATCTTTTCGAAAAAAACAATCGACATGAGAGAATGGTGATGTCACATAAGGGCAACAACAACAATAATTAAAAAAATACTTATGTTGAGAATTTTTTTTTTTATTATTATTACCTTCATTTTGTTGAAATTCATCCGCTGGACGAATTCTTGGTACAGCATTTCATCCTCTTTCATTGAGATCTCGTAGTGCACCTCGTCTGGGTCCCGCGTGGTTCCATCCCAGCCCTCGGGCATGACTTTGAAATCCGGCTTGTACGGCAGAGAAGCAACATGGAATTCTCTGTCGTGGGAGACAAAAAACCTTTTGCATTGGGCAAAAGTTAATCAGGGAAATTACTCAAAAAATCCATTCTCATGATTATGATTAAATGACAAAATATATACATATAAAAATGCAATCTAGTGCTATTTAGGCTTTTCAATATTTTTTTTCTAGCAATTTGATGAATTTTCACACTGGGGTAAGTTGGGTGTCGAGCTGTTGTGAGGCATGCATTCTGATCTTTTTTTCTATTTGATGTTTATTTTAGTCGGGCAGCAGACCAAGGAACCAGGTAATACTTTCTACAAGCTGATATTCGACATGATAAATACTAAAGGAAGGTGAAGTCTCGCTTTATAGGGAATAATAGTATATGCCCTTTGTACTCGTAAAACTGAGGAATCAGATTTTGGCTAGTATGTGAAAGATAAACCTTTAAAACATCGAGCTAGCTCGTGAAAAGTCAAAACTTATTACGAAACCGATACTCTTTTTTTAGTGTAAACAATTCCAGGGACAATACAATATAAATCAATTTTACATATCCTAACTCTCCTTTTCTTATGTGCTCAAAAACTATTTATTTAGCGGACTTTGGAAAAAGCAGAGTAGCTGAGGTGGCAGAGGTATTCTCTAACCTCTAAAAGACTATAAAGATAAGATATTAGGACGAAAAAATCTTACGAAAGTCTAAAAAATTTATAAACTTCATTTCATCAAGTTTCAAAAGAGAAGTGAAAATGCATGTGCATCAAAAGAGAAGTGAACCTGTAAAATTCAGTACAAAAAGACTCCCAACATATGCGCAATTTTATGCGTTTGAAAGAGGTTTAATATTAAAAATATCAAAATTACAACGAACATTCCTCACACAAAACAACAACATGGAAGTCGTACTCCAATATCAAAAGAACAATGAATGGGAAACAAGTAAAAACAAAGGCAAGAACAACCGAAACTTGACTGGCACATAACACAGAAACTGAGGCAGACACGGTCGAATAGAAAGCATAATATCATTTTGATACCATGAGAAACCTTGGATGCGACAACCATTTGATGAAGATAAAGATTGTAAATATATTCAATAACAGAACCAATTACATATGCAGAAAAGATCCCTCAAATTCAGGCAAATTTACTTGTGTAGGGGTGTTTATAGCTAGAAACTCAGCAATAAGAAATTCATTGCTAGGTGATAGAGTACAGAACAATCTCTCAATACAACTAGAACCACTACCCCCTGCATATTACATAAACACTAAGGCCTCGTTTTGTTAGGGAGATTAGCCATGATTAACTAAATAATTAAACTTTGTTTGATGTTTGGTATAATGGGTCGACCCGGAGATATTATGTTACCATGCTTATCTTGCCTTTTAGGGAGCTTTTTTATTGGACCTTCCATGGTCCAATAATACAATTCAGTTTCATTAGATTATTTAATCTTATCTTGGCTAATCCTATCTTCCCAACCAAACGAGGCCTAACAAGTTACTGATAGAACCAACTCATAAAAAAAATCAAGAAAGCAAATAAAAATGCACAGTTAAATACCACACATTAGCAAGCACAATAATAAAGCAGAAAAAAATGGCATTAAATCCACTTACTCAGGACATGTATCAAGCAAAAGCTCGACCGAGTCATCCAATGGGTGCCCGAGCTTTTTCTCTTCCTCCTCTTCAAGTTCTTTCAGCCACAAAATTGCATGCACTCGCTGCCTCATCACCCTGTAATCCTTTGCCAACCTTTCCACGGTGTACGTCTCTGGATTCTCTTTGTGCTTTTTGTACATCTCTGCTTTCTCTGAATCCTTCAAGTATGAGCCTCTTGCACCAGGCTCCCTCACCTTCATCGATAGTTTTTCAAGAATATTATTACCACTAATTTACTTATCCGTTTTGTTTTTTCAGCACGTGAATTAAACATTATAAGGTCCCGACAAATTGGCAATGTGGGACAAATGCAACTGCTAACACCTTTGAAAATATAAACGACAGTAACATTGCAGCAGATGAAATAGATCGATTCAGAGAAGTAAATGCACTGCTACGTCAATAATATTCAAGCATAGCCAAGAATAGAACGAGACCATGCAAATGATTTCAAATTCTTTAAAAAAATGATCGTATGGTAACATAATACAAATATGTCAAATTCTCATTTCCTAATTCTCGCCCTGGAAATACAAAACATACGCACACGACAAAGATCATAAAAACTATTGTCACTATCTTATATGCATAAATGACGAAAAAACTAACTAAGATCAAGATATCACTATAAAATTCAAACATGCTTGTCTTTTTTTAATTTTACTTTAGAAACAAAATCCCTAAAATTCGAAAATCTATAAATTGAATCGTTTATATATTTCTATTTAATCTAGGATCCCGCTTTCACTAGAAATTTTGGTTGTGTCAGCATTCTAATCAATCATTCCACAAACCCCTATATCCCTTTCATTACGGCGAATCACATTACGAAGAACACGAACGCATATACAATAAGATACTTAAATTCACTAATCCGAAAAAAAAAGGACAAAATAATCCGTACCTGTTTCATCAACACTGTCATATCATTCACTTTATCATCCCAGCCATCTATAAACGCCTTACTCTTACGCTGCTCAGCTTCCAACTGCTTCATTTTCGCCATCTCCTGCTCCGTCCACCTGGCATCTGAATACCACTTGCCCCGACCCGACTGACCCATACCGCCCGAAACGGGTCGAACCGGACCACTCGGAGCCGGCTGATTTTGGCCCGGATCCGGAGCCACCTTCTGCCCAATTACCTCGCCGTCGAAGTGCTCCTTCGTCATCCCAGTCGACCAGGACGAACCGCCGACATCCCAGCCCAATGAGTCGGCACCGGAGGACTTGGTTCCACCGAAATGCGCCGCCCAATCCGGGTCTTTGGTGCCGCCGCCGCCGCTTTCATCTTGAGTGGAATAGGGTTTGAGGAAAGGGGAGAGGTGGCGAAACTGCGTCGTTTTGGAGTCGGCGTTGATGGAGAGCTGCTTTAAGGTGCGAAGGAGGAGGGCTCGCATTTTTACCCTCGATGAAGATGAGCGGAGAAGAAAGGGTACTCTGCTATGGAGGCTTTTGTCTCAGGGTTTCTCTATGAAAAATAAAATACCAGTCTTTGGTAGACGAGGGTTCGATCTCTCATTACCTCAAATTCATCAAAATACAAATGAATGTTTTATTTTAGGGTAAATTTTACTTTCCCCCTTATACTTTGGCTCAATATCATTTTACCCCATTCTACTCTCAATTTCATCGATTTGCCCCTTGTACTTTGGCTTGATATCACTTTACCCCCTCCTACTCTCAATTGCTTCGATTTGCCCCATTGTACTTTGGTTCGATGTCATTTTACCCCCTTGTACTCTCAATTGCATCGATTTACCCCCTTATACTTTGACTCGATATCACTTTACACCTTTCTATTATCAATTGCATCAATTTGCCCTACATGTACTTAAAAAATTGTCTCAATGCGGCCCTCGCTGTTAGTTTTCACACATTTAACATTAACACCGTTTGATCTAAGTCTGAAAATTACAAAAAAACACCCCTCCCAACTTAAATAATTATTAAAAAAGTTAATGGTTAACATAATGTTTTAAAAAGGATTAATATGAGATGATTATGATATATAGGGCCTCTTTGGTTTGGGGTATTAGAAGGGATGGGATTTATTGTACCATTGTGTACAATGTTTGGTTCACTTGACGAAACCATCCTTGATTGATGGGCCCACCGTTTTAATCCCCCATTTGAATTATTATTAGTCAAGCCAAAATTGGCTTGACTAATTATCAGGTATTGTATTCCATTTAATTGGCCGTGTGAAATGTCGAAAATAGCCTTAGAAAACACATTAATTACAAAATTAATAGGTATAAATAGTACAATCTTCATCTTCTTCACTCTTCCACCGTGCCCTAGTTTTATCCAGGTAAAATATCATGCCTTTCGATTTTGTCACAATCTTCATCTTTTATCTTGTTTCTGGTGCTAAACCAGTACTAGAAATTCATCAATTTGGTTAGTTTTTTTTATTTTGATATCCATTCCTCGTATTCTTGTCTTATCCCTTTACCTTTTTTTTTTTTTTTCTCTTTTGTCGATTAAATCTTGCTTTTGTTCCAATTTTTTTTTTTTTTTTTTTTTTTTAATAAATGAGTTAATAGATGTATGGATTATTGAGAACTTTTGTGGGAAATAATAACATTGTTTTGGCAGTTCGTAATAAAACATTGTTTTGAGATTATAAGGTAGAATGGAGAATTTGGAAATTGAAAATAATCAAATAAATGAATTTATTTTCAGTCTCTGAATATTATATTATAGATCCAACTTTGAATTGTAAAGCCCTGTAAATTACTCATATTAGTTGGGGAATCAATCAGCTAGATTTTTTTTTAAAAAATGTTTTTTTTTAATGTTCAAATGCTACAGTACAAAGCAGCCCAAGCAAAAAAGAAAAAAAAAAAAAAAGCTGGGGGTGGGGGACAAAAGAAAAAAACTTGAGATATTTTGTTATGCTAAGAGTAGTTTATATTGTTTTAATTAGGAATGAGTGAATTATGATTTCTTGGTTTAATTCCTGTTATTTAACTTTCTGGTGTCTTCTCATTTTCAAAGAATGATTGTGCACAAGCATCATGAAACCGGAGGGTTCTCTAAAATCTTGATATCTAAATGTGGGACTAATCTTCGTTTTATAGCCTTGAGAAATAATATTAAAATATATTGAATTAATGGATTGAATTTTCATGTTGATTTATTGATATTTTGCTTCCTACAGTTGGAGAATTTGTACTAAATAAAAAATATCGTCTACATTGCGTTTTGTTTCTTACAGTAAGACATATTGTGGATATTGCAATAGGATGAAGTTGTTGCCGTCCCACTTAGAAGCAACTTACAAAGTCATTGAATTTAATTGATGAAGAAAGTGATGACAGTGGCACACCGCCTCTTTCTAGTGTTGGATTAAGTGATTCAGCGAGGGTTTGATTATTGATTCATTGGACTGATTTTTCCACCATACATCGGTTTAGGTTTTAATGGATGTTTTGTAAGAGACATACGTACAAGAAAGTGTCTATGAAGTTTTGTGTTTATTTGCTATTTACATGTATGCAAGTGTAATTGTGTAAATAATTTTTTTTACAAGTTAAATCTCAACAAAAAATGTTTAAGTTTGTGATCCCTGTTCCGATGTGGTGTGGGTCAGTTGCAATCCCTGTTCCGATTGCCCAACATCGAGCGGCCTCCAGGTAAAACATACCCTTCGTGTTAATAATTTCTCCATTTCTCGTAATTATCTCAAATTTATACGTTCTTGCTTTTTTTTTTTTTGTTAACAGATTGAGTTAGAGTTTTTCGACCCGTCCGGCTCATCATCCATATCACCGATTTCATGTTCAGATAAAAGGTGTGCGTTGGGAGCACAATCATCCGATTCTCTTTGTTCAAGTTAGTGTGGATATACATTTCAGTATGGTGACGGTAGTGGCAGTTCCGGGTACTATCTATCGGACTCAATGTATTTCGACTAGGCAGTTGGGGATTCATTGACATTGAATTCTTCAGCAACTGTTGTTTTTTGGATGAGCCCCTATATGTTTGTATTGCACAATTGTTGGTTTTTTTAGTCATTTATTTAATTGATATTTTTTCGTTTTTGGACACAGATGAACCTCAATATAAATGAAGAAGATGGAGAAGTATTGGTAGGAGAGAGAATCGATTAATTAATAAATGTAATAAAAGGGGCAAACCAGTAATTTACCTAAAAAATTGCATAGAAAACAGTGTTATCACACAAACAAAACATGATATTATTATTGCAGGTATTATTAGTTTCTCCCCCATAACTCCAACCAAATAATGGATTATTCACTGTGAATCAACAATTTAGTCCCAGTATACCATATCCCATCCATAGCTATCTATCCAAACCACCCAACCAAAGATGCCCATAAAGTACTAGTACGATAACATTTAACAGAAGAGGGATTAAATTAGAACAAAATATATAGTCGAAGGACTACCATTAAAACTACGTGAAATTGTTATCGAAGATTTAGCTGGAGTACAGTACCCCCTACTCTCCCTCACGTAAACCGCGTAATCCGTTGACTTTTGGCCGGTTCAAAAGTCAACTTCTGCAACACAGCGCCAAACCCTGAGAGTTGACTCTCTAGTTTAATTGAAAACCAAAAGTTCGAAATTTCCAACATCGGAAAACTATTGGCTCAGCTCTAATGGCAGAAATCGCCGATGAGAAGCTTATGGCTCTAGCCCGGCAAATAGCCCAGACTCTCGGCCCGAACAACTCCGCCACCGACGATATTCTCAGCATTCTCTCCAACTCCGACGCAAAACCACGCGAGAGCTTCTCCGACGACGGCGGCGGCGTGGACCATACCCTAAAGTCCCTCGACCGCCGGATCTCCCGTTACATCTCCTCCGCCGCGTCAATTTGGCTGAACCCCCGCAATTCCGCTTCATTCCTCGACGCCGTCGACCAATTAATCGCCGTCGTCCGCGAATGGAACCCTATCGCCGACCGCGACAACATCTCCACCTCCCTCGACCGCGCCGAGGATCTGCTCCAGCAGTCCATGTATCGGTTGGAGGACGAGTTCCGAGCCCTAATCGAACGCGGCTGGTCGACCGCCGATCATTCCGACTACTCCGACGAGGACCTAGACGACGACGTTTCCGTCGACGGCGTCGATTTCATCCCCGTGGCGCGGCCGATGACCGATTACAAACTCGTGGTCGACGCTTTGCCGGAGAGGACGGCCGAAGACTTAAACGACATCGCCAAGCGGATGGTGGCGGCGGGGTACATGAAAGAGTGCTCCGGCGTGTACAGCACGTGCCGGAGGGATTTCCTGGTGCAAAGCTTCTCCAGATTGGGGCTGCAGAAGCTCACCGGCGACGATCTCCAGAGCATGCCGTGGAGCCAGGTAGAAGATGAGATCGAGAAATGGAGCAAAGGAATCACCGTCGCCGCTCAGATTCTCTTCCCGAGCGAGCTTCGCTTATGCGATCGTGTCTTCTACGGCTTCCCCTCCGCCGTGGACCTTTCGTTCGCGGAGGTTTGCAGGGATTCAACCATCCAGCTCTTGAATTTCGCCGATGAAGTGGCGATCGTCAGCCGCATTCCAGACCGGTTGTTCAAGTTGCTGGACGTTTACGAAGCTGTAAGGGACTTGATCCCTCAATTCGAGTTGATTTTTTCGAGGGATCACTCTTTTTCGTTGATTGATGAAGCCGTAGCTGTTAGGAGAAGAGTGGGAGATGTTATCAGGGTCATATTCTTGGAGTTGGAGAATTCGATCCGCCGTGATGTGGCCAAGTCCGCGATCCCCGGTGGGGGTTTGCACCCCATTAATCGGTACATGATGAATTATCTTCGTGCAGCGTGTAGTTCGAGGCAGACGCTGGAACAGGTTTTCGAGGAGAGTGACGGAAAAGGGGACGAACGGGGTTTGTCCCCGTTAGCTATCCAACTTACGTGGATGATGGAGCTTCTGGAGAATAATCTGGAGTCGAAGTCGAAGCTTTACAGGGGGGACACTGCGTTGTGCTGCGTATTTATGATCAACAACCTGAGTTATATGTTGCAGAAGGTGAAAGATAACGAGATGGGAGCGGTGTTGGGTGGTAATTGGATCAAGAAACACACTGCTAAAGTGAGGCAGTATCACGTAACTTATCAAAAGAGTTCGTGGAGTAAGGTTTTGGATGTACTCAGTGTCGATAATAGCTCTCATGGAACGACAACCAAGATTTTGAGGGAAAAACTGAAGCTGTTCAATTCGTACTTTGAGGAGACGTGCAAGACTCAATCCACGTGGGTGATCTTCAACGAGGAGCTGTGCGAGGAGTTTACGGTTTCGGTTTCGGAGACTGTGTCCGAAGCATACAGCGGCTTCATTCAAAGATTTGGGAAGCATGGTGATAGGCATATCAAGTACAGCGTGGAGGATATCGAGGCTTTGATCGACGATTTGTTTCGTGGAATGTGCAGTGGGAAAAGGTGAGATGGGAAAATATGTAAAGATTGTGTTGCGTGTGTGATCTTTTGTGTTGTGTTTTGTGTCGTATATACACTAGTCTAGTTTTTCGGAAAGATTTCGCTGTTCTTGTGTATTATGGCCCTATTGATCTTGTTTTTGACTTGTTCATTCTTTTCTACAACTTTGTGTAATAAATTCGGAACTCATTGCAAATTTGCAACTACCGAGATGCATCGTTTTATAATAATGTCAACATGTTTTCGATTTGCCGAGTGCTGTAAGTATCGTAAATTCTCATTTTCATAAATTTGGATATTCTCGAAATGCATGAGTTCATGATTGAGAAGATAGTTCGATTCAATAACCAGTTGTTTGTCAAAATAGCGACAGCTTTGTAAGAAGCGACGCGGATAGTTTCTCGGAAAGGATTCTATAAGTTGATTCACCGGGGTGGATGCTATCCCAGAACAAGTACTGCGATGGATTTGCACACACGGGAGTTAACTGTGTGCAGAGAGGTCCGGCTTCAAGAAATCCAGTCCCGCAACACCCTCTTCTAGTTTCCACAAATCCTTCGACACGAGGAAAAAAAAACTATTAGTAACAAGTAACAACTACATGATATATTACGTACACAGATTTTCGAGAAAAACTTACCATATTTGTGTGGGTCGTTGATCATGTCCATGAGAGGATTGTACGAATCCACGTAGACGATTTTGCTCCGCGGAAGCTCGGCTTCTAACTGTGGAAGCAGCTGCTTTTCGAGCTTGTGATTGTAAGACTGTGCATCCGCGTTCTCCTTGCGACTGCAACTCCTCAGAATCGGTGATTTTGTCGTTATTTGTATTGGCAGACAGCCTATCGGCGGCAGCCCCGATACCACCATTTTCCGGCATCCAAGATTGTACAGTTCCTGTAAGTTTATCGAAACATAAAAACGCAATCATAAACGCAAAAGCAATTCAAGAAAATCATAATCGATAATTTTTTTTTTACCTTAACCATGTTTTGCAGCTTGTTTAGCAGGAAGTCTTGATACATCCCGACAGTAACGAACTGAATCCTCCGTGTCGGTACGTCGTAATAGTTAAATATAAAGTCATTCGTTCCAGCACTAACAATAACCAAAGCGCCGCTCAAAATCCTCCCAGCCTCGTCTCGACCGACAACGCCCTCAACTCTCTTGACATACTGCTCGAACAAACGTGGCTGCTTCGACATGGGAATCACACGAGACAGAGACGTGGTCAACTCATCAAACCCTGATCCAGCCGAAGCAAAACTGACCCCTGTAAGAATTTCCCTGTCCGAAAGATTCGGGTCCAGAAATGGAGGTATAGTTTCCTTTAACCCCATCATCGATGCCAGTATATCAGGTACGAGTTTCCCGTTCGAAAATCTCCCCGTCGAAAAACTGCCCGGGAAATCTAAACCGTACGGTGGGTGGTCTCCTTTGAACGGCGTTAGTATGTAGTTGTTGTTTCCTGTGTCGACCGTCGAGTCGCCGAATACGAGAATTGCGGGAAATTTAGGTAGTGTTGGTTTTTCGACATTGCATTCGACTGCGATTGTTGCGATGAGTATGAAAAGCAGAGTACTACTACGAGGCATTGTTCGATATCGCAAAATACGCAGACGAAAAAAGTGTGTTGTATATAATATGTGGTATGGAGTTATATATGGTGGTTTATTAATGTGTAAGGGAAGAAGGAATTGAGTTTCTATATTTGAATGGTGTATTGGATTTTATGTACTGAAATGCTTGCAGAAAACCATTGGGAACTCTAAACTGTGTCTGTATCCTATGTGAGTGTGTTTTTCTGCCTGTGAAGAAGTATGTCTTGTTGTGTGTATTTTCTGACACCTACTCAGGTTAGAAACAGCCATTTCTTGTCTTACTTACTAAGGCTTCGTTTGGCTGACGAAACAAAGATTAGTCGAGATAAGAGTATATAGTCTAATAAAACTTCAATTATTTTATCAGATCACGAAACGTCCAGTAAAAAAAACTCTCTAAAAGGCGAGATAAGGCACAATAAACAATGATAACGTAATATTTGCGGATCGACCTGGTGAGTTATTGAGAATACTAAACATCAGATAAAGTTGAATTATTTAGTTAATAATGACTAATCATTCCAACCAAACGAGGCATAAAGGTATATAATTAATTAACCTGTGTATTGATCTTAGCCATGTCATTTTATTTGCATCTTCAGCAACAAACAAAAAAATCCAGAAATAATAGTTAGAATATTATTTTAAGAAAAATTAGATGTCATTCATAACAAATGCATTGAAATAAACCAAAACCCTACCCGAAAACGGTGCCAAAGCTATGATTATATGGTTGGCCACAAATTCCTTGTTAAAAAAAAAAAAGACCTGAAATGTTAAATACCGGTTCAAGTTTACTATTGCCGTTTCAACTTTGAACATGATTTTGACCAATTTTTAGTATGAGTTTGATAAAATTCGAAACATGAACACTGTAGTCCTTTGAGTTGGTTTTTGAATCCAACTTGCATCAACTAGATTAGATGTCATGTCACAAAATTATGAAGGAATAAGTTACATTTTGAATTTTGATAATTTATAACATCAAAGTTGTGGGCGTTGTTCATTAATTCATGAGTATCTTTCTCATCTGACGTCCAATTTTGTTGATTTAAGTTGTATTAGAAAGTTAACTAAAAAAACTACAAATTCCATGTTTTGAATTTTGTCAAATTCTGACTCGAAAGGGATCAAAATAACGTTTGAAGTTAAAAATGTACTATAAAAAGTGAAACGGCATTAACCAATTTAAATACCTGGAAAAAAATATTGAAAAGCATCACTCAATTTCTTGATTCCGGTGTTAATATTTTGTACTCAGACTTGTAAAGATTTTGACATATTCCACCTTAATCAACCATCACTACTTTTATAAGTCTACAAAATCGATGTTAGTTGTAAAATATACGAAGGATGTAAATTTTACCGGGTATATGTACAACAAACTCGACTTAGAAAATACTGGCATAGAAAATTGAACTTAGATAACATTTCAGACGTACTTATAAATTGAAGGCTAAATTACAACTGCCCCTCTACACTACAAAAAAAACTGTTTTATGTGACGCAAAAATTTGTCGCTAAAACTCAATATTTCGTCGCAAAAACATTTAGGTGACAATATTTTTCGCCACAGGGGTCGTCGCGTAGGCCCCGTCGCGAAAGGTGTTATGTGACAAACTAAAGTTTTCGTCACAAAATATTGTGACAAAAGCAAAATTTGTCCTAGCTAGGATAAGATCTGTTTACTAAGAAAGGCCTCATTTTGTCATAATTACATCTATTTTTGCAATTTGTAGATTTCTTACATTGACACCCTTTTGTGGAACGTGATTATAAGAAAGTTGCAAAGTTTAGAGGGGTGAATGTAATTTCTCAAAAATAAAGATTTTTTTTTTTAATTTCTTTTTACTTCAGGGAGGTGATCGTAATATATCCTGAATTGAACCATACTAATGTTTGCTATATCAAAATTAGGAGGAAAATTCTTTTACTATACATCAAATGTAAGCCATTTATTTGTATTCCATCGATGTTAGATCAGTATATTTATTTACATTGTTTTCAAGAAGTTGACCACCAATTTTTATTTTATTTTTTTATTTAATTTTAATTCATTATAATATAATAATAATTATGAAATCATATGTAGTAGTTAATGGTTTTATTGTATCTTTTATTTATTTTATCAGTACACATGAAACCACATCAAAATGACATACGTACGGATACACATACGGTCAAGCAAAATACTATAATTTTAGCAAGTGTTACAATTTATAGTATATTTTATTTAATCGTACATATAATTAATTAATTAGTAATAAATAAAATATAAATATATAGTTATAGCACAACTCATCTTTGAATCTGCCATGCATCATGCACCAAACATTAACACTCTCCACGTTCTAACCAATTAATAGGGCACAAAATTAATTTTATTACAAATTAATTCTTTTTTTTTTTAACAAATTAATTGTGTATACATTGCATGGAGACTATTATGATGAACTGTCTAACATATAATATTTATATTTGAAAAAAAAAAAAAAAACATCTTCAAAAAATTATGTTATAACGTATATACACATGTTGGCCGGTGTCGGTTTTTTTCGATAATAAAAAAACTCGCAGTTAACCATATAAATGTATTGATAATGTATTGATCAGTAAACATACAGTACTCTCGTTTAATAGTTTGTAAAGCATACAAGAGACGTAAAACCGCACTACTCGACCCAGCGACCGTTGGTAAGAGAATTTGAAGTTAGGTCAATTATACACAAGTTCACTTGCAGGATGTGGCATCGTTTTCGATTAACTTAAACTTTCGATCAGGTACGATACGTACAAAATGAGGGCAGGGGTACGGTACTTGAAAAAGAAATAATATTTAAAATTGTAATAATTGATTAGTGATTAATGATTATTAATTAATTAATGAATTAATTGCTGTGGCAGAAGTACTGTTTGAAACAGAGTTAGCATGTTACTGTAATGTAAGCTTGTATTACGAAGAATCTCCCCCCATTTAATCATTTGTTGTGTTAGATTTAGTATAATTAATTATTGTAAGCTCTAATTAGAAAAATCAAAATAAAAACATAAAATATTTCGAATGAAGCTAATTATTTGTCGGTGCACCGTAAACCTAATTGCAACGAAGTTTCGTCCTTATATAATTAATAATTTAATTATAATTATAATCTCCATTAATGTTTCTAATGATTTGGTGCAGGTTTACTATTTTCTTAAATATAAATATTTTTATAATTAATATTTCAATTTTTTTGACAAACTACCTAAAAAAAAAATCACAATTTATAGAGTTGTATGCAAAAAAAATAATTATAATAGGAAATGTTTTGCTAATATTAATATCATGGAGTTTTGCAATTCAAAATATTTTTTTATTTTTGTTTATTCTAAATCAGTCTTTCTGTATCATATGAAAGCGATAAAAGCACACTGAATATAATCACTTATTGCAAATAATTAATTTCATATGGTATTTATTATATTTTACAAATATATATATAATCGAACACATTTATAGTTTAGTTCGAAATTATATATTTGCCACTAACGGAGCAAGGATTTTGAGTTCGAGAGGGCCGTTAATTAATACTATTGTATACAATTTTTATTTTTATTTTATATACAAAATTAATAAATATTCGAGAAACGTTGGGGGGCAATGGCCCCCGACCCTATTTTTGCTTTGTGACTATTAATATTGCACAAGAGTCCATCAAGTTATGTAAGTGAACATGGATTGTTTTGGAGAAATAAAGGGCACATGAAATTTCATAGAGAGAGATGACAATTAATTATGTGTTAATTCCAAATTAAGGTTTCTCTAATGATAATTAATTAAGCTCTTTATGCTTTTAAGAAGGTTTTGCACAAACTTCTATGTGAAAAAATAATAAATAAATAGCATCAACTTGACATGTACGTTTCATACTTATTCAGTACGTATCAATTATCATCAACTTGACCCAACTTTGACTTCAAATAAACATATTTTACCTAATTAATTTAATTTTAATGTGTTTACAATAAAACATTAAAAATGTGAATCAGAGAGAGAAGAGATTTTTAACAAACTATCATATTTCCCGCGGGAGAGCATTTCAAAAGCGAAAATTAGAGAATTAGAAACAAAAATTAGAAAATAATAATAATTACAAATGTGCCATTATCAAATAAAAGTAAATTGTTTCATTGAGATAAAAAAGAATAAAAAAAGATATTAGTGGATCAAAAAAAAATTACAAAGATGCATAAGGTTTGTTAGAATTGCCCTACCTTTTAAGTTTTAACCCATTTTATATATAAGATTAATAAAAATAAATTGCAAAAATAGGATATAATGACTGAAAAATTGGAGCTAAATATGCTAGGGTGACAAAATTCGTTTGTTGGTTTAGTAGTGGATTCGAATTGAATAAAAATATAGTGGACAATTAAGTCCGGATATCCTTTACTTGTGCAAAAATTAGGATCCTTGTGCAATTAGGATTTTTTTACTGCGCCTTTTTGTACTAAAACTCGGACGGCCGTTCCGAATTTTGTACTAAAACTCGGACGGCCGTCCCAAAACCAGAGGCTGCTTCTGCTTCTCAAACGGTCGTCCCAGTTTTAAGTGTAAATCTGGGACGGCTGTCCCATGCTATATTTCTTCAGATTTTTTATTTCTTCACTTTTGGCCCATATTTTCTCCAAAATTGCAGTTTTTACCCCATACTTTTCTAATTCTTCAATTTGTACCTAAAATACAATAAATCAACTTTTTAAGCACCAATTATCGTTAAAACACACCAAAAGCTCCAATTAAAAGGTACGATAAAGTGTAAAAATATACACTTAACAATAGTGGATTAGAATTGAATAAAAATATACTTAGATTTGCTATGAAAAAATAAGTTGGATTTAAACAAAAAAAATATTTAAATGTTTTTTGCCAAAAATATAATTAGGGTTTTTTTAGTTTGACCTAACGTTTATTGCTTTTATATATACGATTTTTCAAATTTCCGTGCAAAATTTATATGATAAATATAAATATAACAATATAAATATTCCTTTTCAAATAATAATAATATCTAAATAAATACAGCGAAGTAGAAGATTCTGTGGCAAACCCATCCACGATTCGCGATGCCAAACATAAATTACTAATTTACCACAACGAAAAAGATTTTATTTTATTTTTTAATTTAATTTTTTTTATTCGTTGGGAGAAAAGAAGGATGAATGTAGTCATACATACATGTTTAATATTTAATTTATTTCAACATCTTTGTATTTTAGTTGGAGATGATTAATTAATAAATAAATAACAGCAGCCAAATGATTTTCCCTTAAATAAATACATTGTTATACTCATAATTATAAAGAAAATAAAAATAAAGAATTAGAGAAAAAAAAAGTCTTTGGATCAATGACAGCTGTAAGCTTTAGAAGTACATATGCAGGATTAATATAAAATTGTTAGATATAAGAATTATAGCTCCCCCAATCATGGATCATTATCAAGTTGAGTTATGACCAATTATTTTATTTCAATTCAATTCCAAATCATATGAATTTATGGTCATCTTAATTTGATGAGGGCAAGTAGGAAAATATTTTTTCCTATACGATTTCGGAAGCTTTTGTCCACACGTGTTTTCACGTTTCGGAAACCGAAACTCCGTGATATACGTCAGAAATATTTCAGGGCTGTTTATGTAAATATTTAAAAGTTTCGGGGACATTTCTAGTAATAATAAAAAGATGGAAACGTGTTTCCACAAAAGAAAATCCAAAACTCCTTTCGGATTGGAACTTATAAATTATACATAATTTGTAAATACAAAAATATAATTGACGACAATCTTATAATAACTTTTAGAAATTATAAATGCACCCCTATATTTTTAATATTTAAACATTCCCCACGTTTCCGTATCGAACTTTTTGAAAAATGGAGTTTTCCTGTGTCCGCGTTCCCGTATCAGTGCTACACAGTTTTAAGGGCACAAACATGTTCATAAGAAAAATAAATAAAAGGGTATTTTAGACATTTCCAACCATGAGTTATTCAATATAGAAAATTAATAATAAGCATGATTAATTAATATAATTAACTATCCGTATAAGCTGGTTTGTCATTCCTATATAAAGTACATAATCAAACCATGTCAATCTAAACTCTTATTACACACACACACATAACTAGAGAGAGAAAGTGAGTTTAAGAGAGAGAGAGTGGTTTAATTAGTTTAACTACTAATTCAAGAAAATGGGGAACAGCCTAAGGTGTTGTTTGGCTTGCGTTCTTCCATGTGGGGCGCTAGACATGATCCGGATAGTGCACCTAAACGGGTGCGTCGACGAGCTAACGGGTCGGGTCACCGCCGGCGAGGTTCTGAAGAACAACCCGAACCACGTCCTCACCACGCCGTGCTGCCAGGGAATGGCCCGCCGGATCCTGATCCTCTCGCCGGAGTCGGAGCTGAAACGGGGCTCCATTTACTTCTTGATACCCGCTTCCTCTTTGCCCGCCGAGAAGACCAATAAAATCCTCAAGAAGTTGAGCTCCTCAAAGAAAAAGTCGCCGGAAAATACCCCCGCCGGAAAGTTGCCGGAGAAGAAGTCGTCGTCCAAACGCCGGGATCGGAGAAAAAACACTAGCGGTGAGTGGAGGCCGAATCTTGAGAGCATCTCCGAGGACTGACGATTTTTATACAAAACACTTTTTTCCCAATTTCTTGGGGTATTTTTCTTTTTTTCTTTTTTTTTTTAATTTGCCAACTAAAATGTGGATAATTAATTAAGTAATTCTCTGTCTCTCCCTCTCTTCCTTTTGTAAAAGAGGTTATTATCTAATTTTTACCTCTGACTACTCATGTATTTTTATGTATGAGAAAAGGGAGAGATGAGAATGTATTTTTATGTAATTTATAATGAAATTAAAGTATTTTTCCTCTTTTTGAGGAGTATTATTATTATATTTTGTATTGTTATATTAACATTTCATTTTATTTACAACTTATATTTATATTCTAATAATAAATAAATAAAAGAAAAATACTTAAAGGCTCAAATAATCTCAAACTTTAGATCTCACCCATAAATAATTAAATACTTTTGTTCTATATTATTACTCCATTTGCGAACCTTTTAGAAAGATAAATTAGTGATACAAATTAATGAGTTTGAACGATCAACGATATAAGGTAAAATTGGTAAAAGCAAATTTAATTTTGTCTTGAAACTCTGAAATGACACTAAAAATGGAAGAAAAAAACATGTTCAATGTGACACTTCTTCCGAAACTAATGAGGATGTAAACAATCCACTAAGGAGGCCAAATTGATTGCCAATGGGGTTTCGTCTACACCAAGTTTCGAATGCGTTAAAGCACTCGACAATTTACCTTGAATGGTAGCCATATTCATACAACGGACAATTTTTTTTACGAAAAATGGTAATTTGAAAATTTTGGGAGCTCGAGGACAGTCCTGATTTTTTTTTTTGCTTCATGTATTCAAAAGTGTTTATTAGTATATAATTTTGAGTTTATTTAATGTTACATTCGATGAATTCCATCGTTTAAAATCTCAAATACGAGAGCATACTAATAACTGTACTACTCCCCCTGTCCCTTATTATATGTCGTTTTGAATAAGGTATTAATTGCATTTTTATCAATTTTGTCCCTTATCACTCTTCATTAGTTAATTAAAAAATAATTAATGACAAGGGTATTTTAGTATTTACTATGCTATTTTTGATATAATCAATACATATTTATTGATTATATTAATCTACGCGTAACCACCAAAAACGACATTTAAAAGGGGACGGAGGGAGTACTCAATTTGCACACATTCATGTATGTATGATTGTGTATAGATAGATACATATATATACATTATTATAAAACTAGCCGATCCAACACCTTGCTTTATGACCCAAGAGCAATGAGTGATAAATACGGTGCACCTAATTAAAATATTTTAATTATTTCCGCTTGCATGTAACACGGGAGTCTAATCATGGTTAATTCGCTGGCTAGCTAATTATATATATTCTATCTCCAATTAATCCAATCATAAATTCATATGCATATGCATATGCGAATGTTGCGTTTGGTCGAGGGATGGCCAGCCTCCATAGCTGTACAAATTATTGTGTGCATGCACTTTATTAATTCCTTAATAATTTTTAAAATTATATAACTCAAAAAAATTAAAGTAGGGTTACTTGTGTCTGTCTTAAAGTAGCACAAATTTAGGTTTCAAGGTTTTAATTATATATAGTACTACAAATCTAAGTCTTTTTTCTATATATTTAAGTGTTAAGCTAGCTAGCCAGTTAATATTGTTGGGTCAACCACAATATCAATTAGTAGAAGGGGAAAGGGCACAATATGTGGATTTAAAATTAAAATTTAGTTGTAAGTTTTAAGTTCTTGATCATCATTTTCTTTTTGGATGTCTTTGTACAAGTTTAGGTGTGAATTAAAGTTTAAGTGTTAATTATTATTTACTATTTACCGAACCCGAAACCGAAAACCGAGCCGAACTTTTCATAGTCGTTTATGAAACAATAGTACATTTGTTGTTACAATTGCCTATCATCTGCAAATGGTAAAACCAAAATACGGAGACAAATCGAACGACATTTACGTTTGTCCACGAAATTCAGAAAGACAAACATCGAACGGAACCTAAAAAAGAATGATCAATCAACACATCACGAGCATCCTGAAAAAGTGTCGAGTATTTCAAGAACCTATATCATATGCATCTTTTTCTTTCTATATATTCACAATATATACGTGACGAAATTAAAGAATCAACGAATTCCGAAAAAAAAAAAAAAAAGAATCAACTAATAATACAAATCACCACCACTGATGCACAAGAACACCCCGTTTTCTGAGAGACGAAAACAACTCCAAACACTGCGCATACGTCTTCCGATACTTAGGACTTCTCTTACCAGGGCAGCACCTCTGCCATCTATTGTAATGACACTCGATAAACATCTCGTCGATCAAACAAATAGCTCCACTCTCGATCAACCTAGGAATCAAATGAAACTCAGTCCCTTCGACATCCATTTTCACGACCACGTAATCCCTCTCCACCACCGTACTCTTCAACCACGCTGTGAAATCGAACCCTTCAATCTTATTAACATCTCCAATAAAATTACTCGAAGATTGAACCGATTGAATCCTCCCCATTCCTCTACCCTTCTCCTCCTCGTTCTTTTTCTTATTCGGCTCGCGATTAATTTCGAAGAACAACGACTCGTTTTTCACCCAAGCTGCGTACGGCAGAAGTTTCACCCCCTTCTTCTTCTTGTATTCGTCGTGGAAGGCACTGTCTGCCTCGATCGCGTAAATCTCGAAGGGCTTCTCTTGTTTTGGGTACTGCTTCTTGAACCAACTCCCGATACTCGAACCGTAGCTTCTTGCTCCGACGTCGATGTATACGTACCGATTCTTGAAACTTATGTCGACCATTGAAGATAGGTATTTTACATTCTTGATATTCCTTTTCAGTGTTATCCATGGTTTTAGAGGCTCTTCTTCAATCAAAAGCTCTGCGTTTTTAATTAAATCGAGCTTGTGTTTAGGAACGGAGCACTCTCGATTTTCGATTTCTACGTGGTTACGAGTTCGGTTCTTCTTTCTGAGTATAATTTCACGTGTAGGTACCGAATCAAAACCCTTGATTTCACGCAGTTTGATCAGCGTAAAGGAATCGAATAATCGAAGTAACGAGTGGAGGCTGTACTCGTCGCTGAGTGACTCGGTGTGTGCCACGAAGAAACCACCGGGAATTAGGGTTCTGGAGACTTCTAGGGCAAATCGAACCGGGTTCGGTGTCCGGTCCAGACCGGCGGTGCCGGAGAATTCGAAATCGAACGATTGGTTTCCGAACGGGTGGTTAATTGATTTGGCGTAGCGGATACCTTCTCCGTAGGGCAATTTCTGCGACGAAATTCCGAACGAATTGACGATCCCGATTTCCCTCAATGCGGTGACCTCGGCTCCGTCTAGGGTTTCGATGCAGAGGGAGGCGGAGTTGGTGGAGAGGAGGCCTTCCGTAAGCAGGTCTCGGAAAACGGAGGAGTAGTGGGCGCGGCGGCGAGCGGCGGCGGCGGCGGCGGAGGAGGGTTTGGGGGTTTGGGGGAAGAAACAGGAGTCGAGAGAATCGCAGGAGTGGGAGTTGACGGTGACGACGTAGGCGAAGCGGGCGAGGAAGACGAGGACGCAGAAAGAGAGGAGGCGGACGAGAATGTTGCTGAGGCGGAGATTGGTGGCGGATTTCAGCGCCGGAATCTCCATGGAAGCATTTATTTAATTTGCTTTGGTTTCTCGAGAATTAAAAAAAGGGCAGGAAATTTTGGGCAGTTAGAGAGATGCATGGAAATATCGTTGGGAAAATAAGGCCATGTTTGGGAGGGAACTGCTCCCAACACCCAGAAATTAATTTACAAAAATTACGATTAGCTCCCTAGAATAAGGCTAAACTACAAAATGAGCTCTATTGCTTACGAAATTATATTTATCCACTCAAGGACGAAAAAAACCTAGGGTAAATTGCAACTACCCCTGAAGTATGGTAAAATTACGAAAACTACCCTCATGTTTGGGTAACTACAACAACCCCTCAGCTATAAATTTTCTTACACGTCCACACTTGCGGTTTCAAATTTCGTGGAATCTCCTTGATTATATGGAATATTATCACTTATGTACTCGTTTTATCCCATTCGAACTCCCATGTTGAAGCAAGATGATCATACGATGTGTTTTTTAACTTGTAAATATCAGATTGTGGTGCATCAAAAACTGTATTTTTACACATAACGAGTACAAACTAGAGCACATTCCACGGAATCTAGATGATTATGTTGAATTTGACACCATAAGGGTGGAAGTGTAAGAAAATTCATAGTTGATGGGTAGATGTAATTATCCAAACAATTGAGTTTTTTTTTTTTTTTTTTTTTTTTGTAATTTGACCATATCTCAAAGGGGTGGTTGTAATTTAACCAAAAAGCTAATATTTGTAGTAAAATATCTAAGTTGCTCATGTGTAAAAAAAGAAAAAAAAAAAAAAAAAAGGAACAGTAGAAATTTTAAATTATAATTAGCACCTAAAGTACGTCTAAATTGCAAAAAAATCCCTTTTGTTTGTAAAAGTGTATGTACCCCTCAAACTAATGATAGTTCAAATAATTTTGAATTGTTTCTATAAAGACCAGACACTCGAACCAGAACCAATCGATTTTGGATACATAAATACGCTATCTATCTGATATCTGATTACTCAAGCCCGCCCAAATGGTTCGACTATGAGTCTGAATCCACCGGACTCGCCTGTTTTGGCAGACTTGAACTCGAACTCGAGTTCATGTTGTCGAGCTCGAGCTCCGACCCACGCTCATTTTGAATATTTTTTTTAAGCTAATTATTTTTTTATTAAATATTATTTAGATTATAATAAAAAAATTACAAAATAAATAATAAACTGTGATTACATATATTTTTTAATATTTATATAACATTTTATATTATTATACATTATTTAAATAAAGAATAATATATATATAAAAAAAAAGCCAAATCGTGAACTCACAACAACTAAAAAAAGAGCTTGAAATTAAAAAACTCGAATTCGAGTTCGCGTTTTTCGAACCGGCTCATCGAGCTAACGAGGTGGCTCAGCTCGTTGACCACCCCTAATCGCAATCACCTTGTGGTTCCGTACACGGCGGGTGCATCAACCACAGCCACATGATTGCCGTAGAGTAGATTATCCTCTAATTTTCATTTGCTGTTGGACCCATTTACAAAAGTGCCCTTATTTTATGTTCTTGAAAGTTATATATAAATCGCACGTGTGAATAAAAAATGGATCCAAAAGAGAGATAAAATCTATCAAAAGCCCACTTGAGAAGAAGCTTCTCAGCAAAGGCGAAAGCTGACCTTGATTGCCGTGTGCGATAAGTAATCGTACGGTCCTACACTCTCACTTTGACCCATTCAAACCTATACACTATACGTAATCCATGACGTCATAAAACACGCCATTTAACTATTTATTATATTCTTTACATTTTTTTTTTATTTGTACATTTATTCAAAAGCAACACAAACAAATATACACTTCAAGAAACTCCTATACTGTATTTCTTTACATGTACAAAAACATATCTAATAAGCAAAACATACATCAAAAAATAAAATAAACAAATCGAATCCCTACTCGAAATAACCAACAAACCAAGTTTTCGACTTTTTCTGCGGTCGATTTTATAACATATAACATGATCGATGCAATTCAGTATAGCAACGAATCCAAGTACAAGTCGTCTCTCGGCTCATCCTTTGCTCTCGCGTACGTTCCATTTTCAGACACGGTCGAATTTCCAAAATCCGAATTATTATATCCAATGCTTCCGTTTGCACTCTGTAACATCTCAAGTGAATATGGCACTAACTGAGATGGCCTTAAATTGCTCATAAGCATCGAATAATTCGAGTTGTTATTATTATTATTGTTGGGAATAATATTATTCGGTATCGGCCTGTGGGTCCCACTACCACGAGCAATGGGAACATCGTGGTTGTGTTTTCCCTCGTACGTTGTTATTACAGCTCGTGGGTCGTGGGCTGCTCGCTCCACGTGTTTTCTAACCGGGCATGAAGGACTAGTGCACTTGTAATAACTCCTGAAAAAAATTAATAGCACAAAAAAATCAAGATTTGGTATAATCTAATTAATAACCAATTAGATGTGTAATTTTTTGTTCTTACCTAGGATTGGGATTACCCTTGACAACTTTCTGACCGTACTTTCTCCATTTATAACCATCGACAAGTATATCGATGTCGCTCGTTGTTTGTACTACAACTCTCGGTTCTCTAATTGCCCTGTTTCCTACAGCTGAAACAACACCTTCGGTTTCGATTTCGCCTTTCCTGAAAAAACAACAATTTAAATTAAAATTTAATAAATAAAAAAAAAAAAAATTACTAGCTTAATAATGAAGTGATTAATTACCATCTCTTTTGAAGAGGCTCTTCGTCATCAATCTCAATTTCACCATGGCCGCTTTTCTTAGCAGAGCTCTGCTCCAAATCATCATCGTCAACCGATATCGAATTCGAGTTCTCCAAAGAATCGATTTTTCCCATACTATTCGAACCGTACGAGTGTTCTTGGATTATTTCATTGATGAAGTGTGAATTGTTATTATTATTGTTATTGTAGGACTGATTTGCTGACGTGGAAGACGATGATTTTCGAGTGGATTGAGGTTTGGGGTGATTGTGGGAGCCCTTGTAAACGATTTCGGTGATTGCTCCGTCTAAATTAGACCTTTCGACTTTCTTCTTCGTGGGGCAATTAGGGTAAGTGCATTTATAGTAGCTTCTCGGATTTTCGCTCCCCTTGACCTGTTTCTGCCCATATTTTCTCCAGTTATATCCGTCTTCCGATTTTCGATTCGAGATTACGTTGTTTTTGTCGTCATTCGTTTGGATCGAAGCAATCCCAGTGGAAAAACTTGGAACTGAATTCGATTCGGGTTTCGAATCGACGGCCGATTCTAGCTTAGTGGATTCATTGTAATTACCCCATTTCTGGTTTCCCTGATTTTAACAATTGTGTTAGAGAATCAAACCCTAGAAAAGAGGGGAAACAAATTAACAAACTAAAGCAACAATCCGACAACAGAAAATTCAGACATACCATGTTGTCGTGAGATGAGATAGGGTTTGTTTGGGTTTGGAAAGAGAAATCTGAAAAGCTGTTGTTGTGTTCTTCATACTTGAAATTATCAGTTTGCTGCTGCGATTTGCTATTCCAATTGAAAGAATTATGAACTGGAAAACTCCCTGTAGTCGGAGATGGCAGAATCTGCAGACAGAAAAATTACAGAGAGAAACAGAGCATCCTTAAAAACTGCTAAAAAATTAAACAATACTTATTTATTTTTAATTGGAAATGAACTTACGTTGGAGGAAGAGAGAAGAATAGGGGAATCCAGAAGTTCGGCAGGGCTGAGGCCGGGAGGAATAGCGAACCACGAGGAAGGAGAGACGGCGGACGGCGGCGGCCGTGATAGCGACGGCGGCGGCAGAGACTTGAATTTAGGTATGCCGGAGCCGGTTCTCTCTGCTATCCGATCGCCGAGACCTCTGCTCACGGCGGCGGCGGCGGAGGTGGTGGTGGTGGTGGCGGCGGCGGAGAGGTGGTGGTCGGAGGCGAGAAGACTTGTGAAAGAAGTTGAAGACATCGAGATATACAGTGGCAAATGAGAAGGTCGGAGGCGGTGGACTGTGTAGAGAAGAAGATATTATTACATACACACACAGAGAAAAGTGTGTTAGTGTGTGAAAATGGAGTCTGCGTGATTGGTGGAGTGGATTGGTTTTGTAAGAAGAGGGAAGAAGAAGGAAAAATGAGAAATGTGTACGTATTTTCTTTTTTATATAAATAATGAACTGAAGGTAATTACTGGGAAATTATAGTCAAACCACGTGGTATTGGACTAAAATATCTATCTACTTAAGCAATATAAATATAAGGCCAAATTCCATTTTTCCCCTGTACTTTGGTTTGGTATCATTTTGCCCCCTACTAATATCGATCGTATCGATTTGATCCCCTGCACTTGAAAAATTGTCTCAATGTGGCCCTCGATGTTAGTTGTCGGACATTTGACCTTAACACCGTTTGGCATAAGCTCTGAAATTACAAAAACGTCACCCCCAGTTTAAATAATTATTAAAAAAATAAATAAATCGTGACAACGAGAAAATATAATCTACGTCGGCAACCGCAATTTATTTTTATTTTTTATAAAAAAAAATTATAATTTTTTAAACTAGGAGGAGTGGTTTTTTTTTTTATATAATTTTTAGACCTTAGACTAAATGGTCTTAAGGTTAAAGGTATGAAAACTAATGACGAGGCCATATTGAGACAATTTTTCAAGTATATGTGGGCAAATCGATGCAACCGAGAGTAAGAAGTGGAATTGCCCCTAAATATAATGAAGGCAGGCTGAGAGAGCCACGTCATCACGCGTATCTGTTACTCAAACTGGGTGGGACCCCTTCCCATGCTACAACACACGTCTTCTCTTGGCCAATTAAAATATTGGAATTGTTATTATTTATTTATTTATTAAATCTTTTTATATATCTGAAAATTATATCCCAACTTCATGCAAAAGTCAAAACCTTGTTTAATTCGTTTGACTTTCTGATTTAATTGTTAATCAAACCCTATGCCAAAATCATAAACCCAATATGCCAAAGTTGTTGATCAAAGGCATTGTACAATTAAATTAAATATATGCAACATGCATAATTAAGTTATTGTCGATTAATATTAATCGACTACTAAAGTATAGTTAATTAATTTTAACTGACTACTCAGTTCCGTCCCAAGCTCCGTCGCCAATGTCAACCGACTTCATCCGTCCGCGTCGTCCTCGATGCAATCTACCAAAAAAAATAAAAAATCCTATATCTGATCTCCATCGTCAATACATGGTCGCAAAACCACACTATTACAATCCCGTTTCCAAACCCATCACAACCACCGCCATATCCAAACACACCCCTAGAGTGAGATGGAATAAATGAGAAATGGTTAGGATTGATAACAAAAAGGAATAGTATTGAAATTTTATGTCTAAAGATTAGCTAGATTATATTTAAGGGAATTCTCTCAAATTAGTAAAATACAGGGGTTATTTTTATATTAAATTTTCAAATAAAGGGGTCTTGCTAATTTTCCTAATAAAATTGTCATTCATCTCTCATGTAATATGGGCCAACAGTTGGATTACAAAATTTCAGGCCCACATTTACTAAACGAATAATATTAGGCCCCAAACAAATTGTGACACGGAAATTGTGATACGAATAAAACGGAAAACAAGATTCGAGAAAAGGAACGACTATAACAAATCTCAAATGTTTCTCACTTCAATACCAAAAAAAATAAAAATTGAATAATAAATAAGTAATGATATAAATACCCTTAATGAAAATAAATCCCATAAAAATATTAAAAACTTCATTTTTCTTTCTTCAATACAAACACACAAAATCCCTCAAACCCATCTTCTTCTTCACAAATTCCTCAACCTCTTCCTTCTTTTTCCTCACAACAAACCCTTCTAAAAAATCTCAAAACTAAAGAAATTAAAACCTCACAAAACTTATAAAATGGGAGTTATAAGACCATAATATGGTAGTATATATG